CAATAATTCCAGCTAATGCTGCTGAAGTTCATGATACATTTTTATATTCTGGATGAGCAGTATTCCCATTTCTGCTGTGTTCTGCAAGTATTGAAGAGTGAAGCCAGCTAGGGGCAAAGCCTGAAGATTTCCGGTTGCCTCGGGCGCGGGATGGATGAATGTGTGGGTGCGCCAAGATAAACATAGTGCGCCAACATCTGCCACCAAATGTTGCAATCCCGATGTGACGCCTCTACTTTGTCCTCTTTGCAGTACTTACCCAACAAAGGCGAGGAAACAACCGGGAATGACGGCGAACATAACGAAGAGTCCGCGCCCGCTGAAAGTAACCATCGTGGGCGATGGCATGGTGGGCAAAACCTGCATGCTGATAACCTACACACAGAACGAGTTCCCCGAGGAGTACGTACCCACAGTGTTCGACAATCACGCCTGCAACATAGTCGTAGACGATCGGGACTACAATCTGACCCTCTGGGATACGGCCGGGCAGGAGGATTACGAAAGGCTGCGTCCCCTTAGCTATCCAAATGTGAGTATGATTGCATTGCAAGGGGATGAGGGAATCCAAATATGTGCACCTCACTTTAAACCGATTGCTCCTTAGACAAACTGTTTCCTGTTGTGCTATTCGATCAGCAGTAGGACCTCATTCGAAAACGTGAGGAGCAAGTGGTGGCCGGAGATCCGTCACTTCTCCGCCCACGTTCCCGTGGTTCTGGTGGGCACCAAACTGGACTTGCGCATTCCCAACTCGGAGAAGTTCGTGACCACACAGGTTAGTTATCACCACAAGCGGCTGAACCAATTGTATACTAAGTGAGTGAGTTTTGCGCACTTTTTCCAGGAGGGAAAGCGACTGCGCAAGGAGATACACGCATCCAATTTGGTCGAGTGCTCCGCCAAGAAGAAGCAGAACCTGCAACAGGTCTTCGAGGAGGCGGTTAGAGCTGTTGAAAGGAAACCAAAGACGTCGTCCAAGCAATCGTGCAAAATACTGTGAACTAAGTGTATGCCTAATTTTAAATATTGTTATTATGCGTAATGTATTATGTTACTAATTTGCCTGACTATTTGTGCTTTTGTTTTCGCAAAAAGAAAAAAAAACTGTGTAGAAAATTTAACGTTAAGTTTGTATTTTTAAGTGCCACTTGTGGGTAAACCATATGTTTTGTATGCAACCAGGGCATTAATTGTAAAAAGATAAATAAAAAAGAGCACAAAATGAAAATTATATACACATATACAAATATTAAAAGATAAGGAATTGAATTTAAATCGGATATGGCCAGCAATTGTATATTCCAATAAAACCCTAGTCATTAAAATTGCGTGCCCTTCTTATTTAAAATCCAAAATTATATTCTCTTCAGAATTCCGATTTAAAATTTGGCGCCAAATCTTATGTTATTTTGAATAGTTTAACATTTCCGTGCTGTCAACAGTAAGCTGTTACATTTAGTAGGGACATATACCGCAGCTAGTGTTGCATACAACCAGTCTCATGTTGTTATCAGCCAGCCCTGAAAACAGGAAAACTGTAAGTCAGGTCAATCGATACTTAGTCCGCGTAAAATCGATAGCCTGCTATCGAATTCAAAAGAACGTATTGAGCTTGCTATAATATATATATTGAGCTCTGTTATATCACGAAAACTAAAGTCCACTTATTATAGATCCATAGTAATAGCCAATAAAGTTCGTATAATTTTGGACCAAATAGTAAACGAAGAGTTTTTCAGTTTTCAATTATTAAGCCCGTTACTCGTAGAGTAAAAGGGTATACTCGATTCGTTGAAAAGTATGTAACAGGAAGAACTAAACGTTTTGACTATATAAAATATATATATACTAATATATATATTCTAAAGTCCATAGCTCAACATATCTTAATTGAATTTTAATGTGGCATTTTTAAAAAATGCGATAGTTTTGCACTTTTTTATTAGTCTTGTAAATTTCTAGCGATTTGCAAAAATCGTTTTACTACGCCCAATCTACCGCCCAAACTGTCACGACCACGCGATTGAAAATATGTTTGAATTTTTTTACACAATTTCTTGTTTTTATTATTATTTTAGTATCCCCCTTAAACGATTGCTTATCTAGTGCCTTCTCTCTTAAACGAGAATAATACGTTTGTCGTTTAGACTCATTGTGCTTCACTTGACCTTTGATCCCCGCCAAGTTTCAACGTGGTCTCCGTGCCACGCCCCCATCCACGCACATGTTACGGTCAGTGAGGCAAGAGGCGTAACCGAGGGCGTGGGGTATGAAGTTCTGCTCGAATACTCCGGTGAAAAGCTGGGCATAAGGTCCACTGGCAAAGACGGCCACATCATCGCCGCCATGCGTTTCCGATGCCAAGGGAACTGTGCTGGGGAACATAAAGTCCTTGTTCTTCATGTTGATGGCTCTCAGATTTTTCCTCCTCACAGCGCCTCCTTCCCTGAGGTAGTTACTATCATAGCCCGGTCCATTGGCATAGCTCAGGGTAGCATATGGTAGATCATCCGCCGCCAGCTGTCCGTCATTGATGCCGAAGATATCGTTCTTCCTGCTGGAATAGCCCGCCAGCGACATGGTGTGCGAGTGGTCCGAACTGACCACAATTAAGGTGTCATCCGTACTCGTGTGACTCCTGGCAAATTTAACCGCCTTATCGAACTCCGCCGTCTCATCGATGGCCCTCAAAGCCAAGGTGTCGTGGTGGCCATGATCGATCCGGCCGCCCTCGACGAAGAGGAAGTAGCCCCGTCCGGCACTCTGACGCTCCAGGATTTCCATGGCCGACTGGACCATCTCCTCCAAGGTTGGTTGCTCCGCGGGACTCGCATCCAGGTGGTAGGCCATGTGGTAGGGGGCAAACAAGCCCAGTACTCGTGAAGTGTGATTCGTTAGCTTGAGCAGCTCCCTGCGGTTCTGCACATAATGAGCACTGTTCGTGTGCTGCCTCTTCCACTCCTCGATGAGATTACGTCCATCCAAGCGACGACCAGGTGCTCCACTGGCATCCGTCACGCCTTTGGGCAGGAAATTCTCGCGACCTCCGCCCATTATCACATTGAGTTTCTGACCCACAGGACTGTTTATCAGCTGGGCAGCGGCGTCCGGACACAGTTCGGGGTCACCATTGTCTGCCACCACTTCGGCGTCGTTCTCCCAGTTCCGGTTGGCCAGGTGGGCGTACACTCCAGCTGGCGAGGCATGTGTTACGGAGGTTGTGGTGACCAGTCCCGTGGCCATTCCCTGCTTCTGCGCCCAGGCCGCAATGGAGGACACATGGTGGGCGGCTTGTGCCTGCGCCTGGCAATCCTTGAACTGCACCGCTGCTGTCACACCGATGGTGCCATAGTTGGCCTTGACACCACCCAAATAGGCGGTGGCGGTGCAGGCGGAGTCGGCCACCTGCATATTGGCACAGTAGGTCTTGCTGAGACCCACATACGGGAATTGCTCGAAGGCGAACTGCTGCTCCTCGCCGCCCAGGTAAACGCGACCCGCCGTGATCGTTGGTATGGACATGCCATCGCCGATGAAGAGCATCACATTCCTGGCCAGCTGGGTGTTCAAGCGCAGCTTGCTATCCAGCTGCTGGTCCAGCGTTTGGGCCGCCATGCCCTGCCAGTACTCGGCATAGCGCTCCTCCGTCCTCAGGGCATTGAAAACGATCTGGGGCATGGCTCGCTTGAACCGACCTCCTCCAACTGGATTCGATCCTGTGCCCATTAGCGAGAACACCGGATGCATGCGCCTCTCGGCATCGTGTGAGGATTCTGCAGGTACAGTTGGGTTATTGCTTGGGTTACACTACTTAGGTCTGCCTATATGAGAACTTACCTCCATCACTGACTAGAGCACTCAGGCCGATGAAAAACAAGAGCTGCAGCCTCATTTTTCTGTACTTTCTTCTGAGTTTCAGAGTTTCCCAGTTTCCGAGCTGGTTGTACGCTGCCCAGCACGTTTCCTATGCCACTAATGTTCGTTGACACGAGACCTGCGATATTTATAGCGATCGGTTGGGAGGTTCAAGATTTCATAATGCTATGCCACCATCGACCTGATCGCCGGTTGATATGGAAAAGAGTCCCGCTGCCTTGGGTTCGCTTCGATTTTGTTTTGAAAACACGGAACGGTGCGCAGTGGAACCTCCTTCAGAAGATACCTTAGACCAATATAGGTTCAACTAATTTAACAAGATATATTTCTAACTTTCTCCAAAGTGCGTATCACATGTAAGTCTGCAATAAAGTCCAGTGTTTGACGATACATTAGAAGTCAATTATTTGTTCCAAAAATGTTCCCTCTTTTCATATTGGTTAAAGCTAGTATAGTGTAGATACGCGTTCACTTTGTTGCTCAGACTTAAGCTATGAAGCATAATCATTAGTTCTTTATTGGATTTCGTGTTTTCCTAATGTCTCTACACATTGGTAGCCATATACGATGGCTTACCTCCTTTGTTGTGTACCATAAATCCAGGTCTCTATGCCAGCGAGTGCCTACTGTAGATGTTGTTTGAACACTGTAGTTTTTGAGCGGCGGTTTTGAGCACTCGTTATCAGCGACCGCCGGCGTTGTCTGCCTGCCAGGCCGCCCGATACCCCGTCCGCACGTCCCGCTCGTTCCGCCTGCCTGGCCTGCCGCATCCGCCTGACGCTTGGAACACGCGAGTTCTTCACGTGATCGCTGATTACAGTGGCTGAGGCTGTGCCCGATTTCTATTTCGGGCTTCCAGTTAAGTCATAAACGCGGGCTAATTACCCCGCCAGCAAAGATGCTCAAGCAGATGCTGGGAAAATCATTTCAAAAATGCGCGCCAAGTGCCGCTGTGACTGGCTGTCCGTCCGCCGGAATGAATCTGGCAATTCCGGCGGAGTGGAGATGGCGCAAGCGTCAGCATCAAAACAATGAGCAGGAGTCGTTGGATTGTATCTGCATCTCGCTTGCGCGCACCGTCTAATGTATCTTGCAGTGCGAAAGCCTGAGAGCAAGAGTATCTGAGAGAGCGTATCGCAGAGTATCTCAGAAAGCATCCATCCATCGGCATCCATCGGTTTTTGGGATGCTGAGCGAGAGCTTCTGCTTTGGCAGCGCGCACTTGGCCAAAATAGTTGTTGGTTCGCATGCAAAACGTTAAAATCGCATTAGCTGAAAAACATTTTTATACCAACGGCGCGTTTTTAATTTTTTCTACACTACAACAACACGAAAAATATATAAAATAAACTAGACAAAGTAGATGGCGAAAAGTAAAACCAAATACCAAAAAATAACAAACAAAAACAACAACGAGTAAAACTAAACTTTTAACGTTCAACAAATTCATTGCGCATACATAAGTATAAATAAATAAACGCGTGTATATAGAGAAATACATATAATAAATGATAATTCAATAATTTTCAAACAACAAAAGGTTCGAGCAACGTTCTGTGAAGAAAGGCAAAAAACATAAGTGCTGGTGAAAATCTGAAAAAAATGGAAAACCAGAAGTGAATGGCATTGATTTTTTTTTGTTGAAATAGTTGACAGTAACCAAAAGTTGCAAAGTTGTAGGATTCTTGTGCATTCGTGTGTATAACTGTATGAAATGCAAGGACTGTTGGGATTTTCGTTTCGTTTCCTTCTTGTTTTGTGGGATCAGCAGGCAGAAGTATAAAAAATGTAATGGCACACGGGAAAATTCATACATAATACAATACAGTAAATTGCTAACTGTGTTTCGGGCCCCTAAAAATCGTGTTCGTGTGTTTTTGTGTTCGTCGGGATTATGTGACTCCTGCGTATACATAACTACAATGTCGGTTGGCAGGGATATATATGTATATATGTGTGCATATATGTATATATCTTCATTTGTATATACCTTTAACAAAGTTGGACGCCCAGCTGGCTGCCCTGGCTGCCAACTTAGTTTCCCGCTTGACGAATGTCCTGCTGTGTGTCCTTTCGAATGTTTCGCTCGTGGATTCTGTGTTAATTTCCCCTGCAAATGCAATGCCAAGTTAAAGCTGCAGAAGCCACACGGAATTTTAAAGGGGAAATTCGTGCATTTCCTGCTTTTTGTCATCGCACAACAATCTGGCAACTTTCAATTGCCTTCATTGACAGTTAAAACGAAAGTTATCAAAAAACACGAACAACCAGCGAAGTTCTAGCATGATAATAACACCAACCACACCAGCAACAGCAACAACACAAGCAGCGTTGACAACTACAGATATAGCAACAACAACAATGGCAATTCAGAAGTCAAACACGAGACAACAACAACACAAGCACAAATTAAATAACAACGAAAAATAAAAGTAGCCAAAAACTTTGCCAAAAGACACACCCACACACACACACACGCACACACAGTTATAAGCAAAAGGGCGGGGGGTGTGGCCGTCCTTTATGGGAAACAAACTTTTAACATAGTAGCCCACATACACACACACACGAGCGTACGACCGTAATGCTTCGCACACACACACACGCTCACACTCGCACAGGATAAAAATGAAATGAGGAAAAGCAGCAAAGAGAAAAGGAATCGAAGCGAAAGATGAGGGGGAATGGCGGATAGGGGAGGGAGGGGTGGCGGATGCCAAAGGACGATTGCACACTGTGTCAATTCTGTAACAACATTCGGAATACTATAATGTAAAATGGAATGTAACGGTATCTTACAATGCCACTACAATGTACCGATAATGAGATGTTCGTGCGAGTGTGTGTGTGTCTGCTTACAGTGGTGTGCGTGCATGTTTTACAGAGGATTTCAAGGAGTTTTACCATTTCAAAGTACATTTCAAATGAGAATGGATTTCCTGTCACTGATTGCCATTTTAAGCTTTTGATCTCACTCGGCTGGTTAGCTAATTGCATTTTATTAAATTAAAAAATAGTGTACTAAACTAGAGTTATTTTCGCTCGAGACAAATCCAGTTATGGGATTAATTTAATGCAGCATTCAAGTTATTACTGTTGCTTTCTTAACGTCTGGCTCGTTTCAGTGCGTTTCGAATAGGCTTTAATCTTTCTATATGATTGCCTTTCTTATAATTATCTGTTTCTTTCCAAAGTCATAAAACATTGTTATATCTAACAATCTATCCATATTGCCTTTAATTGAAGGCTGGCTTTATGCGGAACACTCTTTTTACTCCAATTATTCCTAATCCATTGCAATGTGTTCTGGAAGTGAGTTTTTCCTCGATTACTGCTGGGAATTCCCCAGTCTGCGTCGCTGATATGCCAGTTCCGTTCCATAGTACATCATCAGCGAGCATTGTTGTTGAGTGGCAAAGGATGCGCGATGCGGGACACACGAGCGGATGAAACGAACGCACGACCAGAGCAGTGCGGCACGACTGCTTTCTCTTTGGCGCCACCGCACCCCTTCCAGCCTCCACAAACAACCCGCCACCCACCACCCATGCCACCCACTTTGCCCCCAAAAAGCACGCGCTCCAGCAGCGAGTTAACTTTGACGTTATGCTGTAAGCGTTGGGTGCTTCGTTTAAATGAGTGCTCGTTGAATGTGTGAGTAATTGGAGGGGATGCTGGGTGGATGGGGTCGAAAAGAAGGGGGGGGGGGGTGTCTTTGGGGATTGCTCGGAATGGAAGAGCAAACGACAACAAGCAAAACATTGATCTTACTGGCGAAGGTTGCCAGCAGACGCTGGCTGGCTTTTATAGTTTCCAAAGGAGTGAAATGGCGCCAGCTGAAGATTTATGCATGTATTTGTATTCTCTGTGCATGTGTGTGTGTGTGTGTGGGGGGGGGGGGGGGGGGGGGGGGGGGAATTATGAAAGCATTTTTGTGTGAGTTTGAGTAAACATGACCACTGTTTGGCTGGGGGTTGTTTCGCTTGCCGCACGGCCCACACGGCGTATGTGTGCTTTTCGGCTGTGGGATGTATCTTTCGTGTACTTGTGTATGTTTGCTTACCTTCGCTGCATTTGCTGATTTTGAGGCCGCAGCATATTGTTAATGGCCTTCTGCCCAACCCGCCGCCCGATCCTCCAACACCGCTGATGAGCCCGACGGAGGCCATCCAGCAATGGCACTCACTGCAGCGCTGACCTTCACCCATTTAACAGCATTTAGCCGTCAAACCCGACAAACCCACCGAAAGTTGAATGCCATCGCATTTGGCTGCCCACGGCAGAACAGACTTAGCTTTCCCAACAAGCTGCAGCATTGTCATTAAAAGATTCATTGTAATCTGCTCAAAACTGTACTGAAAAGCAAGTAATAGAGATATAAAGTTGTATTCACAAGGTAATCCATAATACTAAGAGCGAAATGTTCTGATTTATGCCATCGCAGTTTCTAAAGAACTTCAGCAGAATGTGTTAAAGGGAGATTTTAGTATTTCAAAAGTAATTGTGTGCCTAAGTGCATTTGCGAGCACATTTTCACAACTGAATCCGATGATATCTGTTATCCCTTGAGCGGCGCTCTTCGTGTCTCGCAATGAAAACCACACAATGCACAAATGTGGGGGATGGACAGCTCAGTTTAATTATAGAATGGAGATATGCATGCTGGGAAAATCGAATTGGCTCCCGGGAATCGTCATGACAACGACCAGATGCAAAATGGAGCCCTTGCAGGTGCAGTGCAGTACAGTTTTAGTCCGATTCGGGAATTACGGTCAAGTGGTTGCTCGTCCTGATTGATTTGCATTTATTAATCAATAACGCATCAAATTAAAGTGCCATAAAAAGCGATGGGCGGGCAAGAAATATATCGCATAAAATGTATGAGCGGGAAAATAAATAGGATTGCTATTCCAATTCTCATACATTTAACGGGCAATGGCAAATTTAATATCATCCGCGAGCGGCGAAATTGCTGTCGTTAAAATATTTTACAACATCCTACAAAGATTGAAAACGAATCAGGCGAACGAACATGCAATGCGAATGTGTGTGAGTGTGTGTGTGCTTATGGCAGTGAAACACAGTGGGCCCGTTGACCAGGAAAATAGGCAGAAAAAATGTTAAGACTTTGCCTAGAGCTTAAATGAATATTAATACCTATATTTTCAAATAAATGGGTATTTATGTTTTGGACTTGTTCGTGTAGAATACCATTCTTAATTCAAATTGCTACTCCTCCACCCCTGGAGGAAGTACGATCATTTCTATACACTGTGTAGTTCGGAATTAAAAATCTAGAATTTTGTGTTAGCCAGGTTTCGCTTAGGAGACATATAATTATGAGTTTGATTTTTAACAATGAAATTTATTAGAAATATTAGTAATATAATAATAAAATAATATATATGATATAAAATTTGCCATCGAATTGCATTCAATGCAATCCTGATTTCTTGATTAAAAATTATCAGATTTTTGTTCACAGCAGATAAAATATTGGTCTGATTGTGGAATGTCATACCTTGTTGAATTCGGTATAAAATTTGCCATCGAATTGCATTAAAGGTTTGAAATGTTGATTTTTGGCCATTTTCGCAAAAAATTATCTTACAAAAATGCGATTATGATCGCCTGGTAATTCAAACCGAAAAATCTACAATTTGCTAAAAAAATTAACATTTTCCAAGCAAAAATGTGAGATTTTTCGGTTCTAATTACCAGGCGAACAGGAATTCCAGAAGGTGACCAACGATCGCTTGGTTTTCGGTAGCAACCTGCTGCTGATTATGATCGCCTGGTAATTCAATCCGAAAAATCTACAATTTGCCAAAAAAATTATCATTTTGCAGGCAAAATTGTGAGATTTTTCGGTTTGAATTACCAGGCGAACAGGAATTCCAGAAGGTGACCAACGATCGTTTCGTTTTCGGTAGCAACCTGCTGCTGATTATGATCGCCTGGTAATTAAATCCGAAAAATCTACAATTTGGCAAAAAAAATAACATTTTGCAGGCAAAATTGAAAGATTTTTCGGTTTAAATTACCAGGCGACCAGGAATTCTAGAAGGTGACGAACGAACGTTTGGTTTTCGGTAGCAACCTGCTGCTGACTATGATCGCCTGGTAATTTAATCCGAAAAATCTACAATTTGCCATAAATATTTACATTTTGCAGGCAAAATTGAAAGATTTTTCGGTTTAAATTACCAGGCGAACAAGAATTCCAGAAGGTGACCACGATCGTTTGGTTTTCGGTAGCAACATGCTGCTGATTATGATCGCCTGGTAATTCAAACCGATAAATCTTAAATTTTTGTAGGCAAAATTGTGAGATTTTTCGGTTTGAATTACCAGGCGACCAGGAATTCCAGAAGGTGACCAACGAACGTTTGGTTTTCGGTAGCAACCTGCTGCTGATTATGATCGCCTGGTAATTTAATCCGAAAAATCTACAATTTGCCATAAAAATTTACATTTTGCAGGCAAAATTGTGAGATTTTTCGATTTAAATTACCAGGCGAACAGGAATTCCAGAAGGTGACCAACGATCGTTTGGTTTTCGGTAGCAACCTGCTGCTGATTATGATCGCCTGGTAATTTAATCCGAAAAATCTACAATTTGCCATAAATATTTATTTACATTTTGCAGGCAAAATTGTGAGATTTTTCGGCTTGAATTACCAGGCGAACAGGAATTCCAGTAGGTGACCAACGATCGTTTGGTTTTCGGTAGCAACCTGCTGCTGATTATGATCGCCTGGTAATTCAATCCGAAAAATCTACAATTTGCCAAAAAAATTATCATTTTGCAGGCAAAATTGTGAGATTTTTCGGTTTGAATTACCAGGCGAACAGGAATTCCAGAAGGTGACCAACGATCGTTTCGTTTTCGGTAGCAACCTGCTGCTGATTATGATCGCCTGGTAATTAAATCCGAAAAATCTACAATTTGCCATAAAAATTTACATTTTGCAGGCAAAATTGTGAGATTTTTCGATTTAAATTACCAGGCGAACAGGAATTCCAGAAGGTGACCAACGATCGTTTGGTTTTCGGTAGCAACCTGCTGCTGATTATGATCGCCTGGTAATTTAATCCGAAAAATCTACAATTTGCCATAAATATTTATTTACATTTTGCAGGCAAAATTGTGAGATTTTTCGGCTTGAATTACCAGGCGAACAGGAATTCCAGTAGGTGACCAACGATCGTTTGGTTTTCGGTAGCAACCTGCTGCTGATTATGATCGCCTGGTAATTCAATCCGAAAAATCTACAATTTGCCATAAAAATTTACATTTTGCAGGCAAAATTGTGAGATTTTTCGATTTAAATTACCAGGCGAACAGGAATTCCAGAAGGTGGCCAACAATCGTTTGGTTTTCGGTTGCAACCTGATGCTGATTATGACCAAACACACATATGTATGTCCATACATACATACATACATACATACATAGTTACATACATACATAGTTACATACATACATACATACATACATACATGCATACATACATACATACATACATACATACATACGTACACATACATACATACATACATACATGCCCACAAAATGTAAATATTTATGGTAAATTGTAGATTTTTCGAATTGAATTACCAGGCAATCATAATCAGCAGCAGGTTGCTACCGAAAACCAAACGGTCGTTGGTCACCTTCTGGAATTCCTGTTCGCCTGGTAATTTAAATCGAAAAATCTCACAATTTTGCCTGCAAAATGTAAATTTTTATGGCAAATTGTAGATTTTTCGGATTTAATTACCAGGCGATCATAATCAGCAGCAGGTTGCTACCGAAAACGAAACGATCGTTGGTCACCTTCTGGAATTCCTGTTCGCCTGGTAATTCAAACCGAAAAATCTCACAATTTTGCCTGCAAAATGATAATTTTTTTTGGCAAATTGTAGATTTTTCGGATTGAATTACCAGGCGATCATAATCAGCAGCAGGTTGCTACCGAAAACCAAGCGATCGTTGGTCACCTTCTGGAATTCCTGTTCGCCTGGTAATTAGAACCGAAAAATCTCGCATTTTTGCTAGGAAAATGTTAATTTTTTTTAGAAAATTGTAGATTTTTCGGTTTGAATTACCAGGCGATCATAATCGCATTTTTGTAAGATAATTTTTTGCGAAAATGGCCAAAAATCAACATTTCAAACCTTTAATGCAATTCGATGGCAAATTTTATACCGAATTCAACAAGGTATGACATTCCACAATCAGACCAATATTTTATCTGCTGTGAACAAAACACTGATCATTTTTAATCCAGAAATCAGGAGTAAAAATGCTGGGTGGGTATGTGGGTGGTTTTAGGGGGCGTTCCGCTTTTTGGGGCAGTCCTCGTATTATAGATGTTATTGCCTCAAAGTAAAACATGAAAATTTAAATATTGGCAGAGTCATACGAAAATTGCACGTTGTTTATTTACATTGTTCGGCGCTGTAAAAGCCAAATGGGAAAAGCGCAGCCAAAGGTATATCTTCTATATCTGTATATATATACGTTTATATACGTTTATATATATATGTATATTTATATCGTGCATATCGCGTGTGTAATTGGAGGCCATCAATTGAGAGATTGAAAGTGCCTGTCGCTTGCGAGAATTGTGATTCTTGAAATGTATGAAGAATTTGTGTGTTTACATTACGGAAAATTCACTGCCTTATTTTTGCCTCTAATCTCGAATAAACAAACGCGGAATGAGGAAGTGAAGCCAAAAAATTCTTCCGACTGCTGCCAAAATTTATTCAATAGATCCTTTAAGTCTCTGTAAGCCGGGCCAACAAAACTTTTCCACCTGGTTCAGTTTCATTGGAATTTAAAGCAATTAAAAAGTCACACTCAAAATACCCGCCCATACACAGAAAAGTTGAACTTAATGTGGCAAACAAAGTGAATAACAATTTTAGACACCGCCTACTGGAAAAGGACTTTTCCCATTTTCCTTCGCTGACAGACAGCTGTTACATGGAAATGAGTCTGAATTTCATTTAAGCCATTGAAATGCCGCTGTTTACTCAGCTTTACTTTTTTTATTTTCTTAGCTTGCTTTGCAAGTTATTGAACCCGTAAAAGTTTTTAATTAAAATTCAAATTAGACAAATTAAATTGCCTGCTAGGTGCCACCGATTGCCGCTCGAAATGGAAGATGTATTTTTATGAGGAGATGTCCTGGGAACGTGCGTTAAATTTTAATTGATTTTTCCCAGCGAATTGTGGGTGCCTCTGCGTGTTTCCCTGTGTGTGTGTCTGTGTCTGTGTCTGTGTGTGTATCTGTGTACCTGCTTACGCGCAAAGTAAACGAAGCGAGATGTGAAAACAGAGATGTGGAGTACAGAACAACAGACACAGATACACGGACGCAGCAGCACACATACACATGCAAACCAATGCGAAATGGCAGACATTCTGGCGTGCGAATAAACGCACACACTCTCCCCTGCTCACACATACACCAACACACACTCACACACACACTAGCGAATAGGACTCGGCATTCGTATTCGTATTCGTATTCCGATTTGCACTCGCACTCGGTTCTCTGAATGAGAAGCTGGATGTGGATGTGTGCGGTGGGTGGTGCGGGTGGTTCGAGGGGCGTTCGTTGAAAGGACAATTCAAGGAGGCAAACGAAAAACATTTTGCCTGTTCTGTTCTGGCTGCTGTTGGTGTTGTTGTTGCTACTGTTGTTGGTAGGCTGTTTATTGCCCAGCCTTGTGCTTGTTGTTGTTATCCTGCTGATGCTGTGTATCTATATAGAATTTATCGATTTATTTTGACTTCTCTTTATGTGCTCCGCCTTCCCTAATACATACAAACAGAGGCGCAGCAAAGGGATTTGCCTTTATTTACCATTTTAATCCGAAAAATCGTTGCTACACATATAAACACTTAAACTAAAAACTTCAAATATAATTTTTTAAGCTTAAACGCTTTCCATTCACCTAAGACTATATTTGGTGTAGGTCCTTGAAGCATTACACGATAATCCTATTGATGCTTAAAAGTAGGCAACACTTTTTTGACAGCACATTCTTTTTATATAACAGAATGAAACATCAGTTGCTCCTATCAATTTCAAATGTGGTAGCCTTACAGTTAAGGCACTTTTAGTATAATATATTTTGTAAAATCTGAAAGCATTTGTATAATTGCTTAAAGCAACCCTGGAGGGTTGACATCCCTCTGGAAAATCCCCTGCCGACGCCGCTGTTAAACGTATTATTTAATACGCTTTCGGAGCGATAAGGCTGCAAAACTCGGTTAGCAGGGAGCCCACTTTAGGGCGCTTCTGGGCGGTTGAGCGGTTGGGTTTTCGTTCAGCCTTCAGCGTTCAGCGTTCAGTCCGCCCCCTCTCCCTTCCTGCTTCCCTTTTTTGGTTGCTGTTTTTCGCTTTACTTTTTGCGCTTAATGCGCCAATTCTGACAACAGTCGAGCGGTAAGGGGTGGGGATGTTGTGGATCCTTAGATGGAAGGCAAGTCGGCAACGACCCAAAGTCAAATTGAGTAAAACGCATTGAAAACTTAAGTAATTTCCCAGGAACGGCCCACAGTTCTTAAAAGCTTTTTTTTCCTAGCTTTGTTCTAAGCGAGAAGCCCGAAGCCCGAAGCAAGCGTTTCTGCCTCCTTTTTTTATTACTATTTTCTGTTTCGCTTCTTCGGTCTTGTTATTGCAGATGGCCAAAGTTGTTGGCCAAGTATTAAAATGTGTTTTATATTGTAATAACGAAGAATGCACTGAAGTCGAAACTCCGCAATGTGCGAGGAGGGGAAAAAAACAAATTCATAAACTGTTTAATGAAGCGTAGCAATTACATAAAGCCAAATTTGGAGTGAACAAGTGCAGCACAGAAATGCCGAAATCCCAAAATAAAGCCAATTAGATTTAGAGCGACTGTAATGGCCAAAGAAGAAATTCTAGATACACCACAAATATCCATTAAGCGTGACTAATTTCAGTTTTACTTCCACAGTAAGATGCTTAGATGTAATCGCAAAAAAAGTGTGTCAAGCCGTCCTCTTTACAAAGAATCAACCCTAAACTAAAGTAAACTACGACTTTTTAAAGTTATAAACCTTGAAAAGGACTAACAAATCGCTGGTAGAATAGCTGAACAAGGCGTGACTTGTGTGTGAGTGTACATAACGAAGGAAAGTACGAGTATGTGAGACCTGGGCGCAAGAATGGCCGCCCACTTGCCTCTGGCCCACCTTTTGTGACCGTGCGTGTGAAATAAAAGAGAAAAGTTAAAAGTAAAAAGTAAAAAAAATACGGAAACGTAAAAAGAAAACGAACGCAACTACTACAATCAGCGGCAATGGAATAGCGATTCAATGTCACAGTCAGTGAGCAGCATCTATGTGCACAGCATCAGATACAGATACCCTTATACATATACCCACTCTCACACGCACACCCACACATGTGTGAACCGCTCACGTATGTAGAGAAAAGCCATAGCCGCAGATTAGCGAGCCAGTTTTGAGGGGCCGACATCGAAGAAAGGCGAAGACGACGACGACGACGACGACGACGACGACAATCAACATTCATCATACGCACCGTGGGACGCGGCGCAAAACGCAAATGCAGCCCCTGATCGATCGGTAAGCCAAAAAGCTGCTAAAAACCAATTCCCCAGTGGAACTCTACTCTTTCGTGCCCCTCTCTTACTTCCTATTTACACCTTGCTCAAGTTTGATTTGGAATTTATATTGATTTGATTGGTGTTTCCGTTTCTTTGAGTACTAACCAAATGACTAACAAAACCGTATATACTCGTACAATTATAAGAAATAATCAATAATGCAAAATTGTTTATAATTTCAAATTTCTATTTAAATCTCAATGGTTACAAGTAGTTCGCACAGACTTGCTCTGTTATTCAGCATTTTTCATAGAAAGCCTGTGGGTGTTCTAATATAAAAGTTATCAATACAAAACGTCACGTTGGCTGAACTATTTAGTGCTTTAGGCAGAGATCTCTTGAAGCAATGATTACATTTCGGGGATTAAAATTAATAAATTAATCAGTTCGACAAGCCCTACACTGCGCCCAATATTGTGCTACATAACGATCGTTATACTCGCAGTAATGATGATGATGACTTCCCTTCCGTGATAAATGTTCCAATTTATTTATGGCTGGCATTAACAAGCATCTAAAATATGTGCTGACACAACACACAAAAACACACGCACACGCACACCCACACAAAAGCGGTATTGGCACCGAGTTTTGCGACAAAATTCACGCGGCGGAAACGTGCTGCCGACAAAGCAAAACGCGGTGTACTCTGCACCCACAACAAAAACAGTAAAGTACATAATAATAATAATAGCAATACTAACAAAAACATAAGCATCACCATCACCATCGACAGCGAAACCATTCACAGCATCAAAAACAACAGCGACCACTTTTTGGTGTCCAAAGTTCAATGACGTTGGCATCGTCATGCAAGCAATTTGTGTTTCCACCTAATGGAAATTTTTGTACTTCTCATGCGGCTTCAATTTCAGCGGAAATTCGTGGAAACCCCATTTTCATCGAATTTGTTTTCAATAAGCAGTCCGAAAATTAACTTTGTCAGAAAAAGTTCGAGTTCATTAATGCAGGGTCTGGGAATATACATATCTTTAAATAATTCACCAAAGAATTAAACCTTTCATACCAACCAAAATTAAACCATGTAATTAGACAATTTGAAAGAACACGTAGAAGTATTGCATGTAAAAGGAATAAAAATCATTTTCAGTACCATATTTAGTATGCACTTAAGTGACAAGTACTTATTATTTATATTAACAGAGCAGCTACACTGTCGTTTTTGCGGAAATACCTATTCTTATTAGCAATAGAAGTACCTCCATTTCAATACCCTTGTAATTATTTAGGTTTCTACTTGAAGTACAAATAGATTTTAAGTTGCTTACATTATTTTGGAATTCTTTAGGTTTATTGACGTCCGTCGTTGTAAACTTAATTAGTTGTAAAGAAATATTTTGTATAATTTTAATATCCCGTTTCGGTTAATTTTAGCTAACTTATTATTGTAATGCGTTGTGTTTTAGCAGCATTTCCGCGTTCCGTCTGGTGACGGCGATTCCCTTCAGTGACCAGTGGCCGCCAGTCAAATTTATGACTAAAGCGAAATAATAGACAATTGACGTCACCGTGGAATAGGTATAGGAATTTCTTTTTTATTTATTATACTTCTATTTGCTTTTACGCGAATGACTCTTATTTAATATACATACGAGTATGTGGCGTATGCGGTAATACTTGCCTCATTGCGTCAAGGGAAAATGGAATACAAAAAAAAAAGGGGAAAGAAAGTGAACGGAACGATCCCCGCAGATGACTTATGGAGGACGCGGTGTTGATCTATTGCTGATAAAGTGAAAGTCAAGTTATGCTAGAAATGTAATTATTCATGTCGCCTGCGAGACACACAAAAGCGGAACAAACAAACAAACAAATAAACAAAGAATCCGGCTTGAATTTTTGTCGCAGAACATGCTAAATGTGCTTAGTCGCATGTGGAATGTCAATGGGCAGCAGCGCCTTTTTGGAAAATCTATAGTATTTTGGTTCGGCTCTGTAGTATTTCGCCTTTGCGTCTGGCATCTCGACATTTGATGGTCGTCGCGTCATTTATCTGTCAGCATTTGCCTCTGCATGATGAACTATTAATTTCTAGTTGCCTAGCCAGGAATTTATTTTCGTCAACTGCGGCACGTGTGCCTCAAACATCAACTCGGATTCGGATTCGGATTCGTTTTGGGATTCGGATACGGATGCGAGTGCGACTGCGAGTGCGAGTGCTTGTGCCTGGGCGGGTTCATAAAAAATAATTTGAATAAATTCCCAGTAAGAGGAGAGTGACAAATCCCTTCAGTTTGCAGCCGTAAAATATGTGTGAATATAAAACACGAAATTTGTGGAATATTTATCAGGCATTTGAATAGAGGCAGCAGCACAACCATTTAGATACCAAACGTTGATTTCGTCTCTATGCTCTGAATGGCCGAGCACATCTGTAATCCGATTTGCAGCACAGCAAATTTATGCCTCGCATTTGAATGCGACCACAAATTCATTAATTATAATCCGATGCAAAATGCATACCTATTCTGTGTGCAAGGGCCTTGAATATTCAGTTGTGGCATAATATCGCATAGCTCAAACTGATTGAATTCGCTGCCTAAATTGCGATTAAATTGCACTCGATTTCGTTGCGAAATTCGCAGTATGCTGTTTCTTCGTTTGCTATTTATGCAGTGCTTTAAGGGCTAAATGGGCTACAACATTGTCTTGGGCATAATTGGAAGGCGTCTGGCGGAAAAAGATACAGATACAGGCAGACACATCAAATCCGACAGGGACACAGGCAGCGGCTGCTTTTGTGTCGCCTTCCTACTGACAACGACAGGTGGTCGTTGGCCCAATACGCATTCAGACATTCAGACAATCATACATTCATAAATATCGCCGCGATAGAGCGCTGCAGTACCAGAAGTGGCGGCTGCCTACACGGCGTATGCGTGTTGCGCGCCGAAAGGCAAAAGGATGAGAGATGAGATGATCGCACAGGTTTCGCCGCATAATCTGGCTCTCGTATGGGAGCGAGAGGTATGTCCATTAGCTGATTTAATGAAATCGTAAATCAAATGAGCGGACGCTAAAAATACATCTGCCGCGTATTTTATGTTTTTTGAAGTGGAACCTATGTACAACAGCAACAAACCGCAGCAGAATCGCTCGCAGGCAGCCGCTGAACAATAGATGAAACGTGGACGATTGTGCCAAAGTACGTATATGTCCCTGTCTTTTGGGGAAATGCATGGGTGCACAGCGACAAACAGATGCCCCATTACCTAATGCCACTTCCAAGGAGACAAATTCCAAGCAGAACAGGTGCGAGCATGGCATCTTGGATTTTGCAGCAAGTGCGAGTCCAAGGAACATGAATAAACTATCTATCTACAGATCAGTCCTTTCAAAACTTCACCTTTTAGTCAGTTGTTAATGTCAATGTTCTTTACCTTGAGGTAGAAGCTCTAAGGTTTCCAAAACTGTGAGCCTATTTTGGAATCTGCTGATTTTCCTTACAAATTCCACTTAAAGGAATTTATTGCTCAAATTCCCAATGGCAGACTGCAATTATTCCCTCAGTGCACTTATGGTATGCTCATGTTTTGGTATCCTCTAATGATGAGCACATGTAATGCTTCGTATTGCAAAACTTGGCGTTTTATTTCGACATTTCTCGCCGTGAATAATGCATGCGATTCCTTGGTCGCCTTTCGCGTTGGTCTGCTTGGGCTGGGTTTTGGTTGTAGTTTTAGTATTTGGCTTTTGCTTTTTACATTTGTTGCTTTTTTTCTGTTTCTTTTCTGCCAAAAGTGCAGCATTGTCGCCGCCGTCTTGGCCGTCTTGGCCGTCCGTCTCTCAATAGGCGTGTCCAAGATGCTGTGGCCAAGATTTCGCTTGGCTGGCCGGCGTCACAGTTTTCGCGTCTGCGTCTGCACTTTCCCATGGATGTGAATGTGGATGGGGATGGAGATGGGGATGTGGATGGGACTGCCAATGGGTGTGCGCATCTTTATTTAATTAACATATTTTATTTGCCCAACATGCACACACTTGTCCACGGAGACGTTGTGATTTATGCCTGGCGTTCTGTGCGCTTTATGTTGCCTTTCAGTCACCGTCGAGATCATGGCGATTGTCATCTTTAAGTAGCTTTGTCCCACAGCCACATCCTCTATGCCCCTACAGCCCCCAGATTAATCGCCAGCATTAGTCAGCTTTTGGTGCCTTCGGATGTAGATATCTGTATCCATATCTGTATCTGTGTATCCCATTGTTGGCACTGGCCGTGTGACTAATTTGATTACACTCACCAACTCACAAGGAATTTGAATATTTCGCGATTCTGACTTTATTTTGAGGCATTTTGTTGTACTGTCCGCCCCAAAACCGTCGACTTTCTGCATTAAATTAATGCTCACTTACTGTGCCAGCCATCTAATGTTATTTATATAGCAAATCAAATACGGCCACTGTCTGTGTGCATCTCTCGGATACTATCGCCAGTATCCGTGAAAATTCCTCAAATGATATGTCATCAAAATGTGATTAATTTAATGCCTACCCAACTCACATGCAGTATGTGTGAGGACTTCTAATATTAGTAGTGTCAACGAATATTTTCCTTCGTTGAAGATCGAAAATAGGAAACCAGAGGCATCTCAAGGGCTTTGTGCTTATGAAATTCTACTTTAAAACGAATGTGGTATACAAGCGGATATAGTCTAGTTGCCTAGACTACTGAAAGCTAACAAAACTGCAATCCATCAAACTTGTTTCTACAATAAACTAACACAATGCACTAGAATGTTTCTTAATAAAGGGATGTAGCACTAAAAAGTTGTGTTAAATTTGGTTTATCAAGAGCTCAATTTAAACAAAATATGCCCTGAGATGTGAAGAGAGAAGTTGGGGAACCTACAAGTTTTTATTCCGCACCATTAAACCAAGGAGAAATAATGGAAGACTCCACACACTCTGTGCTCACTATTAACCCAATTCAAAGGGGAAAATAAAAGAAAATGCAACTCTCAAAAGCCATTTAAGCATAATGTGCAATAAAATTATAAATAAACGCCACTCCAAGGGGAATGTGGGCGAATGTTTATGGGTGGCGCGTTCTCATTAGGCAAAGTGTTCGATAATTAAATAGAAATGTAAATCAAGGCATCGAATTCTGCCCACCCCCCTCGCTTCCTGACCCCGTGCACGTGTGGCAATTAGCGCGCAGCTGTTTAATTGGCACTAAATTTGAAAAAAAAAGAAAATCACCGAGTTTTGGGGAAAATGGGAGGGAATTGTCCACCGAGGCTGCTTATTAAGCGGCAAATCAAACAGCCAGAAATGAGCTTATACGCAAACAAAACAGCAACATTAAAGTATGTATACATTGGCTAATATACCATTGGATGATATACCTATAGACACCCATATACCCGTATATATGGATGTTGATGCGGATGCGCGATAACAGCGAAAATAAGTGTGCTCGAGTCCCTGCCACCCACTGAAATCTGTTTATTTTCGGTGGGCGCGAATGATTTTAATTGGATTTTGATATGATATATCCACCACGCTCCATCCGCATTATCCAATAATACACAGTCTCCACTCACCTTGGCACAGGCCTGCCGCTTTCGATCTGTCTTTGGCATTTTACACACGATTATTTTTAGGCTCTGGCCTAACATTGAAAACGCAAATGCTTATATGTTTGCCGTCTAATTTTGCGCATAGTTATTAATATTATTTTTATGAGCATTTCTTGTTTGGATGATGCGGCCGGCTGCTGTGTTGACATGGCCAGCGGGGCGTTTGCGTTATATCTATGTTTGCCGCTTCTTGTTATCGGTAATCGGAGTGTGAACATACGCGGAATAAACAAGTTTATTGAATTTGAAATTGAGGCAAGCACATAAACACTATAAAACTATACAAATTCGCGATCAAAATATTAGAAAATTATAGAGGGCTTTCCATGGAATTCGGGGGCCAACGTGTTGTTGATTTTTCCTCTGAACCCTGTTTATTGTGGTCTTTTTTATCGCCTTTTGTGCCGGCGGTTGGTGTTGGTGTCGTTCTTGTTCTTGTTGTTGTTGTTGTTGTACCGCGCCACGGTCTTCTTCATTAGCGTGTTGTTTTAGTGGGCGCCCTGCCAACGATTTTCCGAAACAAATCGACGTCGCGCTCGACAACATTCCGCACGCTTACGATACACGCAGTGCAGCGCCAGAGCGACCCACTGTGCCAGTAGCACAGTACCACTGTGCAGAGGCAATGTGCATGCATACTTTTAATTAAAATCAACAAGACGCAGATACTCGCGCATATACTTGGCCATTGCATGGGCCGCACACTAAGCAAAATATTAACATATTAAATTGAGGCATTAAGGTACTAATATATACAATACGTATCAGTTGATGTTGTTCCGCCAAAGCCTTGCATTCTTCAACTAACGCCATACTGTTGCATACTTAAGGCGTGGCATGCATAATGAGGCACCATTTTGGCTCAGTGCAGCGGCTGTCGAAGTTGCTTAGGAAGTGCAATGCGAGCTGCCTGCAAATATCCAAAAGCCAGGCCAAATCCAAATGCAGTTGCAGGCGCAAGAGGCATCCGATGCATTTGGCATCCCCTGCCTGTTGCGTTTTGAGTACAATCCCGGCACCCCAAGCGTCCTGCTCTGCCCCCCGTCATGTCGCGCACTGTACGGAGCCAAAGCGATGCAATGTGCGTCTGATGCCCAACAACATGTGTAAGAGCGTGTGGCGCCCCCACCCCACTCCGCTGTCCCCTTCGATTTTGGGCACCTACGAGCCGAAAAGTTCCCTTGGCCAACTGCGCCTTTGGACGTCGCTCGTGTGTCTCTGCCTCTGTCTCTGTCTGCTTTCGTCTGTTTCGTTTTCTGATTTCGCAATCGTTTTCGGAATGCTCTACTTAGTGCCTCGAATGAGTGGGTTTCGTCACTCACTTGGAATCCGAACTGGAACCTTGCCCTTTCAGGTTATTTCGGCTCTTAAATATCATTAAGCTATAGACATTAGCTGTATTTAATGGGCAGCATGCGTAAGATGTGTATCTATTTATCTTTGAGCAGGGGTAGCATCTTAAGGGCAACATAGCTTAGCCATAATTGCTATTCACGCAGGGTATTCGTGTGATGTACAATGCCCAATAAAGATTTGTCATCTTTGCCAATCTTTTTGCACAGCTTTTTGTGGCATTTGTGGCGCATGTTTTGCCAAGCGTTGCCGAAACGGGTGGGACGCAAGCCAAACATGAATTAAATTAAAAATAAAACTATAGAAGATTGTAATTAAATAACTAAAAACGAAAATAAGCATGCACGCTGACAGACAAAGACTATTGTGTACCAAAATAAAATTTCATGAGACGGCAGCAAGAAACTGACAACGACAACTACAACTACAACTACAATGACATCGGTATCGGCATCGGTGAAAATGAAAAACGAAAAATGGAGGAAAAGCGTACTGCGGTATCGATAGATGAAAATTCGCCAGAAATGCAAAAGAAGCGAGTGCATAGAATAATTGAAATTTTCAATGCTGCAACTCGGGGATGGACATATTCCGCCTTAAGGCGTTATTCGAGGAAAATGTTCAAGTAATGTAACATAAAACTTGGCGACATAAAAGCTTTATTGAAACATATATTTAAGCACTTTCTTAACAAAAAGAAAGTAACATATAAATGCCCATGATATATATAAGTGAGGAAAAAATCACAAAAAATTCTCATCCTAAACATATTTTCAATGCCATGTTTTGTTTGCTAATCCTGCCGACAAGGTAATCCCTCTTGACCGATTAGCAAATGGCTCAGTCAATCAGTAAGTCAGTCAGTCAGTCAATCATTCCATCGCTCAGTCAACAATTAAGACTAACCGCCATTTTCGCTCACCGACCCCCCGAAAATTCCCAATTTCATTCACGAGAAGTTTTTTACCAACCGATGTCGATTTATCTCATACTTTTGATTGTGTTTTGCATCGTATATGTTGTATGTACATCCATGTGCGATTTCCCCGATGCGAGTGTGCCAATGTGTCGCCTTATTTTGAGTATGTTTTTGCATGTGTTCGATTTTTTGATTTCACTTCGTTTTATGCGCACATTTTTATGCATAAATTTTGACATTTGTTTGCTCTTTGGTTCCTCTTCACGTTTTTATGTCACCCCGCAAAAATGAAAAGAAAACCAACAAAAAAAAATTAAATGAAACGAAACGAAAGAAAATAAGAGACGCCAGCTACGAATTCGAATATGTTCAATCATACCAAACTTTTTTCAGATTTTTGATTTTGTATCCCCATCATCACCACCACCACTACCACCACAACTACAACAACAACAACTACAACCAGTACAAGCACCAACAACAACATCAACAACAACAAGAACCTCATCGACGGCGTCAATTGCGACGATGGCTGCCATAAATACGGTAAGTACGCGACATCATCAACCAAATAATAGCACAAAAATAGTACCAAAATAATAGTACAATAAAATAAAGGCAAAGGAAATGCCAGGGAAAGGCAGTCAAAGCCAACAGAAATAACAATTATGGAGCATACAAAAAATAGCCACAATTGTGGGCAATCAATCATGTAGGAATACATTTTTTACGGCACATGCCGATATATTTATCAACATTTACATCCAAGCAATTTGTATCTGACATATCCAAGCAATGTTTCATTTCTGAATCACTGACTAACGCTAACTACTTTAAGGATAACTTGGCCAAGTTATAATGCTGCGATTACTAAGACTGCAAAAGTCAATTACAAGGCGACCTACTTGGTAATAAATAATTGCCTGCTGTCACTTGTCTTATTTATGGAACTAAAAAGCATTCAGAATACCATAATTTGATAAGGCAGAAAAGTACAAATATCAAAGCATAAATCAGTGAGCTTGCAACTTTCATAGAACTTTCAATATGTCTTATAATTCTGTGTGGCCAAACCCGGGTAAATTATTCATAAATTTCCATAATTGTCACACTTGCGTAGACAATAATGTCAGCGACATAAAGCGTTTAAAATGCCATTTTTAAAATGATTAAACTTGTGATATTGCGCATACGGCATGTTGTACGCCAGCTGATACCCGTGTCGTCGAAGGCCTAATCATAAACAAAATTGAAAATTGAAGAACACAGCAAGGCGGACAGATACGATGCCATATGACCGAGTTACCCGATGATGAATCTGTTCTTGATGATGACGCCGCCGACGAAGGCGGCGGCCCTTCTCGGTGCAAAACATGTGTTTCAGCTCATTTTACTAATAAGCAGAAGGGAAAATAGAGAAAAAGCCCGATGACAAATTGCCGGCCAGCTCATTCAATTTTACGCTGACATCATCTCGAAATTTTCATTAACATATCGGCAGAATGAATGCTCGAACCAGACCCGCCAAGCACCAACCTTGCCAAAATCCAAATCTGGCCATCAAGTCTGGCTGCAATGGAAATATGATTTTGGCAGCACCAAAAACTTTTCCTGCAACATCGGCTTCCCATTCATTCAGCTCTTCGCCTCTCGCTTTTTTTTTTCTGCCGCTTGTTTTTTAGCCTGACATTGACATTTGATTGACACGTCGTGAATCACGGCGTAAAAATATGCCCCCGCCCATCCAAGAGTTCAGGTTGGGATGGGCAATTGGTGTGAGCCGTGTGGCAACAGGATATATCACACCTCCCATCCTCGAACTTTGACAGCCTTTGCTGGGGACGTGGGGATTTTCAAAGGGGCGACACTCATAAATCTTGTCGCTTGTGCAAGAGAGCAAACATATAATTACTTGATGCCCGAATTGATTTAGCGTAAACATAATTTACGAACCCATTCGATTGGAAGAAGCGTTGAGGTACCCAAGTGATACCGTGATACCGTGGAAATTGAGGATTTCCACGAAATGTACTGGCTCATTTGGCTCAAAAGCAGCGTCAGGGTTATCACAACAATTGATAAACATAAATCTAATTTGGCTCTGCCCATTTATATCTCATAGCCGGACTGGCACATTTAAATAAACAAATTGTGTGGCAGAGAACATTAAAGCGGGGGCGTGCCACTTGTGGCTCCTTTTCCAGCTCATTTTGGCTCATTGAGGGAACTTTTTCATTAGCTAGCCGTGTTTTCTTTAGCTTTTTTTGTTTTTTGTTTTTTTTTGCCCGCAACTTAAACAATAATAAAATTTCTGTTTATTTACTTTACGTGAAATTTTATGCAGCGTCGTTCTGGTTTTCCCTACTACTGAATTCAGACAACTGTTTTTCTTTTTGTTTTTTTTTTGCATTGTGGTCAGCGTCGCAGGCACTTTTGGAAATTTACGCTCTGGTCTTTTATTTATTTTCATTCGCGTTTTCTTTTGCGGTTATGGCCAATTGCTGGCCACATTAATTGGGCATCGGTTGCGGTTTATAAAATATTAATTGCCTCATCTAACAACGGACTCCCCCCTGCGACCCCATTACCCCACTTTCTGGCCAATTTATGACTGCACTTTATTGCATTTAAATTAATATATGTCGAGGGGCGGCTGCCAAGTAGACAAGGCAAATAAATGAGGGACTAAATATACACCATTGTTTTGCGAGTGCCAAGAAGGCAACAACCATTGCAGCAAAGTGTGGCTACATTAAAATGTCATTTTTACCAGTGGCGACCGGTATAAAATGTATTTTCTTTATTCAAAATTCCCACTCTAATTACCTCTAATCAAAATGTTCATTAAAAAGATTGTTTGAATAAGCAAAACGTATTCCCAAGTGCATTGTAATATGGGCCACATGGCGTATACGCGATATGCTTCCGTACTTACTGCCAGCGGGAATTGTGGGCGCGGTGGGCGTGGCACAGTAGTCACTTGTCGTCCTCAAAGTGAAATGCATTAAAACTCAATTAATTATGCGACGCGTCGTCCATTAGGCGACAGTTGCCGTGAATTATCAATAATCCCGACTAATCTCGCCTGACAGCCATCGCTGGCTGCTGTCCCGCCTTCTGGCAGCAATTTTTCCTTGACTCCATCGATCTCCTCCCCTCACAGACATCATTTTGAAGATATTACATATTACATATTATTACACGCAGGTACCAAAGAGCATCCACCTGCCATTGACGACTCTCAGCGCGCCGCGCGTGTTGATGTGCAGCGCATCCGTGGGCACCGAAGGATCCGTCACTCTGCAACTGCGTGATGCGAACGCATTGGAGGCAGCAGCCACAAAGACAGCAACAGCAGCAGCAGCAGCAGCAGCAGCGGCAGCCACATCGACGACGTCACCAAATGGCGCTGCAAGTGCGTCAGCGTCGACGCTAGAGAATGCGCTGACCATCGGCTATCCGGATCCGGAAATGTTGGCAGATGTCTTGGGCACCATTCAGACAGCCTGTAAGTGAACTACACAAGCAGATGTGCAAGGCTCATCCGGTAGTTCTACAAGGCTTTTAGCTTATCAGTATCAGAAGCGGACTTGTAGAACTGCATCTAACTTTTTGTATTTTTGTATCTAACCTTTTTTCTTGATGGCTGCTTACAGCACTCAAGAACAACAACGCAATCACAGCAGCAACTTCAAGCAATAGCTCGACCAAGTCGACGAGCAGCAATCATCTGACAAATCCCAACAAGATAACCATAACCAGGCGGAGTGTGCAGTCGGTCAGCACCTCGACGAATAGCGGTAGCATTAGTAGCTGCAGCAGCAGCAGCAGCAGCAGCAGCAGTAGCAGCAACAGTGGCAGTGGCAAAACCAACACCAGCTACATAAAGAACTGCTTGATCCGCAGCAGCAGCTGCAGCAACACGGTCACCAATGTCACCACATTGGCGCAGATTATGAGCAACAGCAGCACCAGCAGCGCGGCCAGTTTACTCAATCAGCACAACAACAACAGCAACTGCAGCAACAGCAGCAACTTCAGTACCGCCTCCTCGGTGGGCAGCAGCATCAGCGTTGGCAGCAACAGCAGCAGCAGCAACTGCAGCAACGGCAGCAACAGCAACAGCAACGACAGCAACAGCAGCAGCGGCGGCGGCCACAGATTGAGTTTCAAGGGCACCGGACGGCATGTACCCACGAGCGGATTAGGTTCATCGGCGGCAGCAACGAACACGAGCGGTGCCGCCAGCGGCATTGGCGGCATCATAAGCGTCGAGGCGCCCCGCAAAAATCGACCCAAATTATCCTCACCAACGCGTCACGGACCGCAGCAGTGTCAGGTGCGTACGCAAATCCGCTGCAGCTTCTGCCGCACTCATTAATCCAATGTACTATATACTATGTACTACAGTGCGAGTACAGTGTATATATCCGTGGCCTAATCGCCAATTTATCGCCGCTCATTCTGAGCCATACCAACATGTCGTGCAGACAGTCGTGCAATATTTATAAACAGACATTAAGGTCGTCGTCTCGTTCGAGTGGCAGGTGAAACGCGCCCACTTCTCAAAGTGCCCCCCTCTATCTATCTGTATCTCTATCTGTAGCTGTAGCTGTAGCTGTATCTAAACCGGCAGAGCCCCTACAGCTCGTTAAAATCCGACGGACTGGCACTTGGAACTAATGTTATGGCAGCAGTCCGTCCGGTTGTGTTTATACACGGCGCTAATTGAGCGCAGAGCCCGTCTAGTTGGGAAGCTGCAATCCGTTGGCTTGCAACATGCGGGCATTGGTAATTCAGGGAATTGTGGGAGGACCATCAAAGGGTAGAAATCATTTAAGGAGAATTCTACAAACACATTTGTGGCACTATAAAAATGGGAAATACATTGCATTTCAATGTGAGTCCGAATCTCCTCATCTTTCAGAGCGTGCCTCATGCAACCATTAAGTTCTATGCTTTGTAGCTTCATGCCACCATCACCTCCATCTCGATTTCGTAAACCAATTATTGATTTAAAGCGCTTTTTAGCCGTGCGAAAATTTTCCACATCCCAAATCGAACAGCCAGGGGCATTCAACGCGTCTCGACGTCTGTCAATAAAACTGACAGCCGCTCAAAGTGCTGCGGCTCCAAGTCCTCCATTTGCTCCTTCTTTTTTTGCACGTCTAGTGGGGAGTACGGCGGTAAAGTACATTTTATGACGCGTTTTACGATACTGCGGATGTTGGGAGCAAGTGTTTGGTTAGCGGTGGGCCGGGGGAATTGGAATTCCACTGCCACAGCCGCTGCAGGGCAGGCCAGCAAAAAAGATGCTCGCAACACAGATGTTTTTGCAGATAGTTTTGGGGGGATGGGCTGTGGTTCAGCTTTCGGAATTCGTTGGTCGCAATTAGCATGCGGTGTGTGGTGGCCGAAAAAACGGGAAAAAACAGAGGGCCAACATAGCGTATACGCAATGTGGCTCATTAAAATGTTCGAACGCGCAGCGCTTTCAATTATCTAGAGGGCAGCCGACAGCCAGTGCTAATTACATTTCTCCTACGTTCTACACTCGCACTTTTTATAGATTTGTTGCAAGATCTTTGGAAATGCCTCGGCGCTGGCCAAGCACAAACTGACGCACAGCGACGAGCGGAAATACATCTGTGCGCTCTGCTCGAAGGCATTCAAGCGGCAAGATCACTTGTAAGTAAATGAGGCGCACTAACTAGTGCTCCATTGATCTCTTGATCCCTTGACCCACAAAACCACCGAGCCACCGAGCGACTGAACACCCACAACACCCACTCTTTACCGCCCCCAGAAACGGACACATGATGACTCATCGGAACAAGAAGCCTTACGAGTGTAAGGCGGATGGTTGCGGCAAATCCTACTGCGATGCCCGATCATTGAGGCGCCACTCGGAGAACCACCATGCCGGCGGAGCAGCCACGCCCACCACCAGCCAATCGCTATCGCCCACCGCCAGTTCGAGCGGTACCAGCAATAGTAGTGGTGCCGGCGTGGCCACCAGCTCCCTGAGTCTCTCCCCGGCCACGGCCAGCGGAGATGCCAGCTCCCCGGACGGTGCCACCTGCATTCGAACCTACATTTCCACGGGCAGCTCGGTGGTGGACGCCGCCACCGGGATCGCCCTGTCGGAGGAACAGATCAAGGCGATGAATCTGCCGATCAAAACGGGCGTGACCTTGCTGTCGCCCACCACCTCGACCTCATCGAATGCCTCGTCCTCGGCCTCGTCGGCCAGCTCATCGCTTTCCTCGACGGGATCGGGATCGGGATCTATGTCGGGTTCGGGCTCGGGCTCGGGTTCGGGATCGGTTTCCATGGCCCCGTCACCGTCAAGTGGCTCGATGATAGCCGCCAGCTCGCCCACCATCACGCTCAGCGATGGGATGAGTCTCGAGGGCGAGGGTCTCACGCGGGAACAGTTGGATCTCATCAGCAAGATCATGCAGCAAACGAAGCAGACGAGTGCCCAGGTCACCGTCTCCTCGCCCACCAGTGTCAGTTCCTACAAGATCAACACCAACTCGTCGCCATCGCAGAACAGACCGCGCACCTGGAACATGCAATTGGTGGGTGGACTTTATATAGAGAAAACCATTTATAACCAAATAACAATATACCCCTTACTATTTACAGCTAAATAGTGCACAAAATGTGACTGTCACAGTCGAGGACAACTCTGAGCTCGTTACCCCCTCCTCCAACTCGCCCGTGGAGGTCAAGGAGGAGGAGCTGAGCCCACAGCTGGTGGGCAACATGAATCCCCACCTGCTCAACATCGTGAAGCTCGACAAGCCCGTTGAGTGCAATCTCTGTCACCGTAAGTTCAAAAACATACCCGCCCTCAATGGGCACATGCGCCTGCATGGCGGCTACTACAAGAAGGATCCGGAAACCAAGCGCAGCGAGAAGAAGGACTCCAGTGGTCCGCCCCTGCAGACGGCCAGCATTGGAGTGCGCGCCCTCATCGAGGAGAAGATCATCAGCAAGCGCAAGGACATGACTAAGGTGGGTCCAAAGAATGAAGTTGAGGGTTTCAGATGTTTCCAATCTATCACCAATCCTCTGCAGGGCTCCTTTGTGGTTCCGGCACCACCGCACAGCAGTGGCACCACCACCACCCTGCGTCGATCGATCAGCGACCTGGAGAGCTTCCTCAACCCGAAGACGAGCACCAGCAGTCACACCCAGACGATGACCACCACTACGGGCACCACCACAGCGGTTCTCCCGGCGGCCACCACCATCAAGAGCAGCAATGGCCTCAGTATCCAGCAGATTGGCCTGCCGCAGAGCATCGAGATCTTCAGCGGCGGTCAGAAGCAGGCAAAGACGCTCAACCTGGGCAGTGGCACCAACACGATCACGATAACCACCAACAATGTACCCACCACCACGACGATGAGTGCTCTAACTGCGCTGAAGGCGGGTGGCACCATCAGTGGCATCTCTACCGCTACCAACACGGATCCCAAGGACTCCACGCTCATAGAGCTCCTGAAACGCGGCACTCGCATTGCGGTCACTTCGAAAAAGAGCCAATCCCATGGGCACACAGGACCGAGTATAATGATGACCTCCAGCGGAGCGGCTACAAATGCAGTGGGTGCTATCACCGAGTTGACCACCATTGGTGGCGGTGGAGGAGTGCAGACAGTGGGCAGACAGATCATAACCAACAACAACCGCACCGTGATCATACCCTCCGATGTCCAGGTGGTGTCCACCAAGAGCAAGCTGACCAGCTTGAGCAGTCTGGTCAAGAGCAATATGACCAGTGGTGGCACCTGCTCCTCGGGAAATCTTTCGCTGGCCGATGGCACGCCTCTCTCCCTGACAATTGCGCCCAACCAGGAGGTCACCGGAGGTGGAGGCAACTCCAGCGGATCGGGCAGTGTGATCACGAGCGGGGGCGGTGGAGTCTACACGGTTACCTACACCAGTGATGGCACCGATCTCTTTGACGATGCCGAGGTCTACAACGTTTCGGACACCGAGATGCTGCTGCAGACGGTGGACTCCATGGAGCTGCTCAACGATGAGGAGATCAAGAGCGAACATTCCGAGGACTTTGCCCTGCTAAGCGAGGCCGGCGATAGCGCGCACACCCAACTGGTGAAGCTGGAGCCGGAAAGTGGGCAGGCCAACTCCGGCTCGGGAAGCGTATCCGGCGCCAACACCACGCCGTTGCCCACCTTCCAGCAATTCCATTCCAAGGAGCTGATCATGCAGAACAGTTCGCAGATCCAGGCGATAGCCAGCATGCGTGGAGGTGGTGGTGGTGTCCTGGCCTCGCCGCTCCACTCGCCACTGGCCTATCCCACTCCGCCATCGAGCCACGAGAATATGGCCCAGAGTTCGCCGTTCATCGAGGATGCAGCTGCCCAGTTTGTGGATGCCAGTAACACCTTCTTCGGCGACAAGACGGACTTCTCGCACATCTACTTCAAAACGGATGAGGGGGAGGCCACCATTGAGCAGCTAAATGAGCACGACAACGAGAAGATCCTGAAGCTGAAGTCAGTGCTGGAGGAGAGCAGCTTCGATCCCTCGATCAAAGTGGAGGACCTGCTGAATGGCACAGATGATGACACGGAGTGCGATCTGCGGGAGTTTGCCGAGACTAATCTGTCGTTTTTGGACGAGGATCAGGAGTTCCTCAACGACTCGAGGAATGCCACCTCTCCGCTCTCCGAATCCTTCTTCACCAGCGGCATTGGCTCCGCGGAGGATGTGAAGCAGGTGTTGCGAGAAGTCCTGCCCGATGAGAATATGCAACTGCAGTTGACCAGTGAGCAGCAGGGCGAGAACATCATCGATCTCTACTATCTGCCTGGCCTGGGCTTGCAGTCCCAGATGATGCCCAATTCGGAGGACCCGCTGCTCTCCTCCTCACCCCGTGAGTTTGGCCAGCAAAGACAGCAGTTGGCCATGCAGACCTCCAGCATGCAACAGCCCATGGAGCAGTCGCTTCTGGACAACAGCAACCTCTACCAGCAGCAGGAGCAGCAGCAACACGAGCAACAGCAGCAGCAACACACACAGCAGGAGCAGCCACCGCAACAGGAACAACAGCAGCAGCAACAGCAGCAACAGCAGCAGCAACAACATCAACAGTTACTGCTGCCCCAGCAGCCACTCAATCAAACGGAATCCCTGCCGGCAGTGGGTCAGCAGCAGGGTGACTTCATGCTGCCCCTGGTGGGTGGTCATGGATTCAGCCAAGTTACCAGCCAAACACAATACATTGACAACAGCCAGGGCGGCATGGGGATGCAGCCGCTCAACAGCCTGCTGCAACCACTGCTCTATGGTGGGGTAACCACATCCAATGGCAATGCCTCAGCCGGGGGCAACGAATCTCTGCTCACCGCCGATTGCCAAATGAATGCCAATCAAGGCCAGATCGATACGGGCCTGATGTTCGCCTGTGGCAACACGACAACCATGGCCCACAAATCCCTGGCGGCACTCGTGCCTAATCCGCCGAGCGTGGCTAATCTGCAGCCCTTGTCCAACCAAACCAATTCCATTCTGAAGCGCCGCCTGCGCTCCAATGCGCCCCAGGAGACGCACAAGTTCTCCAAGTTCCACACTCTGTCCCCGCATCGTTCCAAGCTGCGCAAGCCATCACGGACCCACTATACGCCCGCACCCATCCTGAATCCGGATCGCAAGGGCACTGGGCTGTACTGCAATGTGCGCAAGCAAATGGGTCAGGGTCTGTTCGACGCCTTCGACGACGACTTCGGCGACTCGGTGGGCTTGGTGGACTTCTCGGATGAGTCCAAGGTGAACTTGGGCTCCACCTACCAGGCGCAGATACCCGGCTGTCGGCCGCTGGAGGAGGCTGCGCGTGACTCTCCGGGCGCCGAGATGATGTGGAACCCGGAGGTGCAGGAGGACGAAAAGATCCTGATGCGCTACATTGATCTCAGCAAGTCGTCGGCCGTGCCCATGGGCAGTCATTCCGAGGAGGTGGCGCTCCAAACGCTGCTTCGGGCCAAAGGAAACTCGGCGGCGGCTGTGCTCAGCCTACTCCAAACGCAGTCCGGCGCCTTCCAGATGAAGTGGACCGCCTACGAGCTGGAGCAGTTCTTGCGGGGATTGGAGAAGCATGGCAAGGACTTTGGCAAGATCGCCAGTGAGGTAGGTTCCCTTTGATGATCACGATTCATAATTACTGTCATAAATACTTTGCTCCCCTGCAGCTGCAGACAAAATCCTCCGGCGAATGTGTGCAGATGTACTACTTTTGGAAGAAGCTGTGCGTGGACTACAAGGTGACGCACTTGAAGATGGAGCCCGTGGTGGTGATTGCACCCGCGGTGGAGAAGCCCTATGTCTGCGAGATCGCCGACTGTTCCGCGGTAAGTTCTAGGCTCTCATGTGCACCAGCAGCATGCCCATTGCCCTCTGCCCCCCTGCCCCAATGCACGTGCTGCAGCTCCCAAAAACCGCACCTCACTGGCTCTTTCTGTTTACTCTCTTTCCTGTACATAACGCTCGAATGTCACAATCAAATATCCAAATATCTTGCCCATTCCCGCCTGCGCCGAATGTAGAGCTTCAGTTCGAAGGCGGCGCTGCACGGCCATGTCCGCATACACGCTTATGGTCGCAATGCCAGTAGCAACACCAGCAACAACAGCAGCAGCAGCAGCAACACCGGCACCAGCAGCAGCATGCAACATGCCGCTGCAAGCACTGGCAGCAGCGGCGGCAACAACAGCAGCAGCAGCAGCAGCTACGCCTGCGCAACACTGAGCAGCAGCAACAGCAGCAGCAACATTGGCAGCAGCAATGCCGCTGCAGCTGCAGCAGCGCACAGCAGCAACCTGGCTCAAAACGGCAGCAACTGCAGTGGGCATGCGAATGCAACAATAGCAGCATCTGCGCTTTCGACCACGCCCAAACTGGAGGCGGGCATGGGCAATACCACTAACATACCCATTGCCAAGGAGGGCGAGTTCCCCTGCAAGGTGTGCGGCAAGTAAGATTCCCCCAAAGCAATTTAACCCACCACCCACCACCACCACAACCACCATAAAAGCATAAACCAAAAACACGTGAAATCCGTATGAAAATTCGAAAATCCGCAAGTGATTTGAGTGCCCGTAATTGACTTGAGTTGAGATCGTAAACGCACGCTGTACCGTAAACTGACTTGTGTATCGTATGCCGTATACGAGTTATTGGTTAATAGATCTTGAGTTCACTGTACTTATTGTTTTACCGAAGAGTTCCTCAGTTGTTATATCGCTACCCACTTTCAACTCCCTTATATGACTTTCAGTTCAGTTCTGAGTAGATACCTCTGGTGATTCTTTAGTTCCATTCGTATGACACTTTCCGACTTCTACTATGCCATTTAGTTAGAGTTTTCGTCAAGCGATATTAACTGTTGTTATTGTTGTTGTATTGTATTGTTCCATGATGCGAAACCCCAATATCAAATCCAATCAAATCCAATCAAATCAAATCAAAAAACAAACCAAACCAAAACAAATCAAATCAAATCAAACCAAAATCAAATGAAATCAAATAATGAATACAATCAATAAATCGCAATTGCAATTTTAAAGCGAAGAGTCACAACTCGCAAATAGACGTAACCGTAACTGATATCAGCTCCACAAGTCCACACGTACAGCTCGCTGGCCAAATGCTCGGTAAGTAGGAGGCCTTCGATTTTCGGTTCATTTCGATAACCCTCTTCCGTTTCCGTTTCCGTTCCAACACTCCATTCACTTGGTCTCTGTTCTCTAATTTCGTGTATTATTGTATTTGTCTTCGACTTAATCCTACTCACAGCGCCAAATGCCTTTGATAACTTATGTAAATATTAAAGAACCATCCTCTCCGATCTGTCATATGTATATTGGAACAGCTGGCCTTCGAAGTGATCTAAATTTGATCTGGTTGTGGAGATCCAAAAAAAAAAGAAAACTATCATATTACAGAGATCACAAGCCTAGAGCGGCTGTAACATTCAAGCGCACATTCTTAACTCTTTCGTTCCCTCGAGATGTATATGTATTTAATCACTTAACTTTTATTTGTTTCCTTATTTGTTCCTCAACATAAACTCTCTATTTTCCATAGTTATTTGTAACAACAAAGCAAATTTAAACTCCACACAAGGCTAAGTAAGAAGAAGTGAACAAGAAAGCTTAAAGGCTCCTTCGTATCTCCGCATGACTCTTTACCCAGCTATATCTATGCATGTGCTATACAGTGTGTACTCTATGTGCTTCCATTAAATCTAATATCTAAATGTTCAAATAATCCGCCTAGTCTGCGTAATCTGCATCTTAGATGGTAGCGATCGAAACAAGTGCTGCGGCCCATGTGTTCTCATGATGCCCCGTCTTCTGCTCTTATTTTCTTCCACCAGAGTCTTCAATAAGGTGAAGAGTCGCAGTGCGCACATGAAGACGCACCGCGTCCAGGAGCCGGATCAGAAGCACCAGCTGAACCACCAGGCGGGAGCTGGCCTGACCACCGTCGCCTCATCAACCATAACCGCACCATCGTAGACACCGAACGACGAGGAATGAACGACATGGACAGGGAATCCATGGGGCGTATATTGGAAACAAACAAAAATCGATTGACAATCGCATTAAGCAAGCGGCAAGCATTGTTTACCACTGTTAGAATTTATGCTTAGACGAATTTGCGTCTAAGAATCAATGTCACGTGTACGTAGTAGTTAAAGGCATTTCTTCACTAGGTCTATCTGAATCTATATCTCAAGCCCTTCTTCTTCAATCACTTCTCTATCTATCTATCTATCTATCCACTAAGTAGCGAACACAGCGACTCGCTGTAGGTTATAAGTCTAGCCAGGATTGGTACAAGTTCAAATTGAATTGTTATTGACTATTGTAGGCAAGTGCAATATTTATGTTGAAGTAACATGAAATACGAATATGTAAATGTAAATCTAAATGTAAATGTACATGTACATGCATACCTACCGTTTTTTATAGTAGGCGTTTATTCAGCTCGACTCGACTGTAGATGTACTCTAAATCTAAATCTAAATCTAAATTTAAACGTAAATCTAAAACTGTACTACAACCATGGCTAAAGCTAAGGCGAATCCCGATCTATGATAAATACTAGTGCATAATTACTGTTAACTACAAGTTTTTCTACTCAAATACTCGTACATAGTTGCAACACACTACACTGATACTTTACTAGGGCGATAAATGTGTAGGGCGTAAGAGAATCTCTATATATACATACTTGATATAATTACATGCCTAGGTGTACGATGTATGCGATATATGATTGTTGTTCTAGTTTTAACGACGCAAGTCAGCAACTCCGAGTAGTTGAAGTTTTACTTAGATTGTACTTACCTACCTACAGACCTAAACTATTAAACTATGGCTTAGCAACAGCAAAACCCAAGAGAAAATCTAGTGAAATCAAGTGATATTGAGTGAGATCAAAAACGATTTTAGCTAAACGTGAACAAAATTCAATGCACACCAATGTAAATGGAAGTTGAGAAAAGTTTTAACTTTACTTTTAACGACGCAAAGTTGTAGGTTGTAAGACACTGTACATACGAGTCTAGCAAATTAATCAGATAAGGAAGGATATGTTTCAAATTTCTCCAAAACGCATAAAAGACATTAATCTATTTATAATTCTAGATCCCCTCTACCCCTGACCGCCCCTTCCCCCCACCCTACAACAAAAAAGAACACAAACACACAGACAACGAGGGTTTGAACTTTGAACTTCGAAGTTCGAACCGTGAACCCCAAAGAGCCCACACACACAAAGAGACACACACAGTGCAGTTTTATATAGGCCTAGGATATACATACATAGTTATTATATACAAGCATATATTAAATTAAATGGTACAACAGTAAATCTGCCAGCAATTTGAACAACAACAAGAATCACACGTTTTCCATTTGGACAGTGAGCTAATGTACTACAACAAATTGATCAATTGATTCAGCGTTTTTGAGGCCGATGCCGGGTAGTATGTTATTGACAATGGCGTAACTTAATCTAGTTTAATGTAAACCGATGCATGCAGGGCTAAATCGAAAACCAAATGAAATACTTACGTTTAGTCTAAATACCTTCCGCCCCTTTCCACTCCCCTATCAACTCACCCGCAGATCCGGATAAACATTTGGAGGATAGGAACTATTAGCAATTTTTATGGTTGTATTCGCCAGAAAACTACGAATCAGGAGTTTGTAAATAAAATACATGGGAGATGTACAAAATAACCCGATGTGGAGAACTTATCCATATGCTGTTCTATTTCCTTGGCCTTGTGTTCGCAATAGCATTCGTAATCATAAAATAGTCATAGATTTAGTTGATGGACAACATAATTCTTGCATATTTTTCGGTGTTATATACAATAAGCGTAAGCAGATATACATACATGAAAACAAATACAGCTACAGCAGCCCACCATATAAAGCACATTCAGTAACTGTTTGTTGTGGGCCTTCGAAGCCGTTTAAAGACTTTCTCGCGTACAAATACCAGCCCGAACATCTATGTATATCCCGTTTCCATCTATTATAATCGTGCTTGGTTGTCTGCATTTTCTCTACATGTCCTTCGTTTCAGTTTCCGTTTCCGCTTCTGTTTCCGTTTCCATTTCCGTTTCCGCCTGAGTTCGTCCAACCACACTGTTCGATTCTATTCTATGCGCAAATGCCTTCAACCGAATATAAGTCTTAAGTATTATTAAATAAAGTATCCACAAATGAGTGTTTATCCTTAAGTAAGTGTTCAAATCTAGGCTTACGTTAGCTTAAGTTGACATGAGTGTGCACTTTGTTGCTTTTCAAAAAAGTTTCCTAAAGACAAAGAATGGATAAATGTAGAGTTAGGCATCTGCTCGAAGGTCTAGTCAAATGCCGTAGATTAATTATCACCTAATTTATTTATATTTTATTTTAAGTTTCAATTACTGTGCCAAAATGTTTATCGTTTACCAATTAAATGATTTCAACTGTTTCATTTTTCCACGACCGTCTCGCCTTTTTATTTATGTATCTACAACATCGTAAATTCAATAGTAAAGGACAATCTGTGACATTGAGTACTATACATTCCTATACATTTCGATGCGATAATTTCCGGAATCATCTGCGTCAGCGATTCCTCCTCACTTACACACTTTATTCGAAAACTCTGCGTTGTGATTGTTCATTAAGCGAAAGTAAAGATAAACTGTATTTATGCAATGCAAATACGTACAAGTATTTTAGAGTAATCTGTATATAAATAGATGGCGGCCCACGCGGCTCCAGCTTCCTCAAAAGCAAAACTAATTCTAGCTCAGAATTCAGATTCACTCAAGTCATCAGTATATACAATTTGCACTCCAATTCAAAGACACTATATAGTTGCATGAGTGGCTTACTTCTTCTCAGCATCTGTTTGCAATATTTTGTAAATCGTACAGATACGCATACTACCATTAATGTCATACCGAATGAGGGAAACCGAATATTATATTTAGAAAACGCAACAGAATTACTTCGAAATACAATACAAAACCTTTTGAAATTGAAAACGATTGATAATAGCTATTAGACATATCAATTTTATTTAAAAACGAATCGAGAGATACATTCAAAAAACCAAAAATATATATATACATATATATATGTATACATAGTCCGTACACCTTCGTGTACACCAGTGCAATATTGCATTCCTGTTTAGCGAATAAGTGGACATTTTAGGCGTCATCGTAGTATCTACAGGATCTTCTGTTGGGCACCACTTTCGAATCTTTGCTTTAAGTGCGATATCTCAGAGTATTTAGACTGACGAGTAATAAAACGATACCAAATTATGAGATACTATTCTGGATGCAGTGCATAGCCCTTCGTTTCTGTGCCAAAAACAAGGATCGATCGCGATCTGACTATGGACGCGATGAATGGCGTGACAAACTTTACCGCTCAGTATTATCGAGATGTCCGACCTGCGACCCGGAAAAACTGGGAACTGGGGTCGGGCGGATCGCCCTGCTATGATTAAGTACCATATACAAAGAACTACACAAATCTACGATGTAAGTTTTAACTGTAATATGCAAAGAGACACTTTTATAAAGAAGCAAACTGTTACTTTATGGCATTTAGTTGAGATGCTGTAACCTCTTGTTGATCGTAAATTGTACGTAGCATGTAAAACCTATTTAACTCGCAGACACCTACACACGAATATGGCATTCAAGAAATATATATATATATATATATGTATTTATACAGTGCTAATATTAATATTCTGATATGAACGAATATTTTATGGTACATCTATATATGTACATAATAAGAGTAAATGTAAACTTCAATGTTTTCATGGTTGTAAACTGATGATCAAAAATAGATTTAATGAATTTTACATGCTTTTATTTAAACGCAGAATTACTTCGATCTTGCTTTACACTTTTTGGTACCTAATAATATTTAATAATATCGTCACATCTAATGGCATTTCTTTCAACGAACACCGAGTCCTTTGTTTTACATCAATCATTTGTTGTTTTTACCAGACTTACAATCTCACAAGCGGTGCAATGGATAAGCGAAATATTTTCTGAGCATCACATTCTTTGATAAGAAATGATCAATGTAAGCGATATTTGAAAAAGAAATCATGAATATTCCCTCCAAATAATTTTTAAAAAATTACGTATTTGCTAAAAGTCAAATCTCTGATAACTGTAATGAAATACGACAGGCGGGAGGTAATGGTTCCGACGAACTCAATTCCCAAGTCTGTCTATAATGGAGGAATACTGTATTTAGCATGATGTTACCAGTTACATTTAACGTAATTACAATTACAATGATTATTGTGTATTGCATGTGTATGTGAAGTGTATGTAATTACAAGTAAACTCTTTAAAAAACCAAAAAAAAAAATGTGAAAAGAGAAACTATGGCACACATTTGCCATTTAATAGTAGTCAATTCTTCAAAACAAAACAAAAAAAAAAGTCAAGAAAAGAAACGCATTAGGTTAAGTGTGGAGATGCATGAGGATATATGGACACTATTTTCTAAACGTATTACAACAATAATTTATGAATTTGTTGGTAATTTTATACATATATATACACAGTTACTTTTGTTAGCTAGCAAAACGACAACGACAACTTAGGTAGCGCCGAGGTAGATAAACTTTATGAATGTTGTACCCAAAGCCCACGCCCCGGACACCCGCGAGAGCACACTGTACAGGCACGAACCTCAAGGCAGGATGGGTCATAGTTCGAGATCTAGATACCACGGATCCCAGATCCTGAGGCCCGTCCTTGCGCATCCTACCTAGCTAGTTAGGTCCGCGTCCCTTATAACACGATTTCTGCTCATACTCTACACTATACACTATACTCGACACACTCACTGATTACCATCTATGTTGGATCTGTTGTACTCTGCCATTTTTTGGTGTGATATTCTATTGGTTGTGGCGGTTGCTTTTAAACCGCTTTACACATTGTTGCATTTCTACTAATACTAATCGTAGCTGGCCTAAACTGGGTCACAACATGACGAAAAAACACAAAACAAAAAAAAACAAAAAGCAAAAACTGAAAACCAAAAAATTAATTATTATGTAACTTATTCGATTTCCAGTTGTTGTTTTGGTTGTACACATGCGTAATGGTTTTAAACTCGTTTTAACTAACTATAACTGATTGCCAAACTTTGTTAACTATTTTAGTCCATACATACGTACATACATACTTTTAGGTTTAAGCACTTGTAATTTAATCAAACATGATTTGAGCAAATTTAATGAAAATGAAAACTAAACTTACAAAAACACAAAACGAAAATAAAGTGGTGGTCGTAACTAAAAAATACGTTGTTTTAATTATTTTTTAAGCGGATTTCCATAGGCTCTCTTTTGAAAATATAATGGGCACAATCTTTCATTGCAGATTTTCACTTATCTATAAACTGTACATTTCTAAGCTGATTATATGAAATTTCTAATTCGCATTTCCACTAGCTGAGTAACAGGTATCTAATCAAGGAACTCGACTATAGCATTTTTCTTATATCGAATTTTGAAAGTTCTCTGTTGCACTTCCAATAGTTGAGTGACGGGTATCTGATAGTCGGAACTCGACCATAGCATTCTATCATGTTTGTGAGATCTTTTTGTATCTGTTGGTGTTAGTGGGTATTTACCGTACTTAATGCATTTTGTATTACGCGCCATTTTGAGTTCCTCCAAATTTTAGCTGAGACACGACCCCAAAAGCTTTTGCACAGTGCTCTCCTCATATCCTTTGTTATTCTGCTCACACACTCTCTCTGTTTTTCTCTCTTCCTTTCGCGTTGCTCCTTCCTCCCTCTCACACACACGCAAGCTCGCAGAGTTGGCATTGTTGTTGGCGTTTGTCATTGTCCTTTTCGCGTTCGCTTTTGCTTTCGCTTTCGCACTCGTTTATTTAGTTCAGTGTGTTCAGTTGCGTCCTGGCTTCATATCCTGTCGCTATCCTTTGGCTAAGCGCAAGCCCAAGCGGTTTCAGTTCGAGGTTTTGAGTGCATTTGAGCGGCTGCAAATACAAACAGAACTGTGCGTTGCAAAAAGCCATATATCTCTGGCAATTAGTGCTTAGTGTTCGGTGGAAAACATATCTTCGAGATCGAATTGTGCGGGATTTGTTGGATATATATATCCGAGGAGTGATAAACCGGCTCGGATCGTAACCTTATTTAATTCTTCATCGGGGTTGTGCGTGTGCACCAAACGGCTTCAAAATTAATTACTCAAAGTACCACCACAACGCTATGTCCTTATCGGCCATAGCTAAGGTAAGCGAATCCCAGCGTCATTGGCGCCTTCATTCGGGCATTTGGCAAAAATCCATTCCAGTTCCCGCAAATATCACTCATACCACGCGGCCAGCAATCTCTGACTTCAGTTCACTTGGTCTAACTTTCACTCATACCCCGCATCCGAATCCTCAATTTGATTTTGCGCAGAGCAAGAGCTTTCCTCCCTCGCGTACACACTGCAAAAGTTGGCAAAACAGGGTTGTCAGGCGGCGAAAAAGTTGCAAAGAGGATATGCATATCAATTTCAAACGTCCGGCTTTATAAATGAATGCAAACAGGGAAAAAGCAGTGCTTCAATAGAAAGAAAGCTTTCAAATTACTTAGTAAACTGGGATAAGAAGCGACTTTTGGATAATTTATTGGCTCTCCTTAATAAGTTTATTTGTTTTTAATAATTGTTAGAACAACATATAATTTTGATTTTAATTAATGAAGTAAATCACTTATTGATTCTCTATAATCATAGGGTCACCTAAGCGCACCCCCTCCACCTATGGTTTAGTTTTAGCCCGAGCTCGACAACCCTGTCCCAGGGTTTTGACTCAAACTCTAACGCGTCGGCTGGCCGAGCAACCCCTGAAAAAGCACACCCTCTCCAACCGAATGGCGAAACTTCTGAGCCAATTTTCTCTTGAGCAGGGGTCCTGTGTCCTTGGCGCTGCCTTCGCGCTGCGGACTCAGGACAACGACAACTTGAATAAGGTTAATGCCCCTAACCGACCTTGGGGTGCGACACAGTTCGGGACTCGGGAGCTCGGGACCTCGCTGCTCGGGGTTCGGGGTTCGAATGTAGGATGTTGGATGTCGGAACTTATCGGACCCACCACACTCACTTTCGCACGGGTTCATTGAACTTTTAGGGAACTCATTATGCTTTCGGTGAATACAGTTTCGTGTGGGTGGCGATGACAACGACCCGTCGATAGGCTCTGCTGGGTTGATTGGCCCGGCCGGAACAGCCAGCTGTGTGTATATCACTTTAGGGCTCGTCCTCACCGGCTACCATTTGGTTAGGGTATGTGGTATGAGGTATGAGGTATGAGCCATGAGGTGTAGGGTCCGATGTCGACCCCCTCGACCGCCCGAAGCTCTCCACTGTTGCTTTGCAGCTGTTGTCGGGCGCTATTTTTGGTGCAAGTCGAACTCAGCGCTGTGCTTTTCGTCAGTCTATCGCTGGCGTTGCTCCTGTCTGGACACCATGAATCATGTGGGTATATCTGCATATTTATAGCCGAGGGCCTCGGAGAAAGTTATCCCAGTTATCTGTGAATAGAAATAGGCGATGAGTGCGTAATTGAGAGCTCTGGCTTATCGCGAAGTAAGCCAAATAGCCGCGCCAAATGCAAATGATTAAACCAGTTTGACTAGGCTTGTTGTGCCTACTAACCCAACTCGTTATCAGCGGCAACCTGTTCTGTGCTATTTGTGTTGTTTGTTGTCTTCGAATTAGAATAAATAGATTTCGTAATAGAGTTTGTGGCCCCGGCACGCCATTCGGCGCTGGCCAGTTGTGGCAAAATGTGTACTAATCTCAGTCCCAATGCTTCCTCCTCCAACACACAGCCAATACTCTACTCGTATTGGCGCAGCTCGTGCTCCTGGCGCGTGCGCATTGCGATGAACCTGAAGGAGATACCCTACGACATCAAGCCGATCAGCCTGATCAAATCCGGCGGCGAGCAGCATTGCAATGAGTACCGCGAGGTGAATCCCATGGAGCAGGTGCCCGCCCTGCAGATTGGTAAGTATCTGCCGCAGAACCTGAAACCAACTCCACTTACTGCTCACTTATCCACCTCCAGATGGACACACCCTCATCGAATCGGTGGCCATAATGCACTACCTGGAGGAAACGCGTCCCCAGCGACCTCTCCTACCACAGGACGTCCATAAGCGGGCCAAGGTGCGCGAAATAGTCGAGATCATCTGCTCGGGCATCCAGCCCCTGCAGAACCTCATCGTGCTCATCCACGTGGGCGAGGAGAAGAAGAAGGAGTGGGCCCAGCACTGGATTACACGTGGCTTCCGGGCGGTGGAGAAGGCGCTGTCCACCTCGGCCGGTAAATACTGCGTGGGCGACGAGATCTCCATGGCGGACTGCTGCCTCGTACCTCAGGTTTTCAATGCCCGAAGGTAAGTATGCTACTAGAACAGCCAAAACTCGAGATGCTGAAGCGTGATTCCTATATTCTACCAGATTCCACGTCGACTTGCGACCATATCCCATAATTCTGCGCATCGATCGCGAGCTGGAGAGCAATCCGGCATTCCGGGCGGCCCATCCATCCAATCAACCGGACTGTCCGCCGGAGCTGCCCAACAAATAGAATTTTCCGACGACAACTGCAAAGCGCCGTAAGACGAAAAAGTGAATTGCAGTTCGTAAACCAGGCACAGGACAAACTAAGAACTTAAATCTGATCGGAGGGCGGGGATTGGATTGGATGGCAAAGCTGGCGAGGATTCCATTAAGCAGAAACAGTCGGATGTGATTTAAGAAATTGCTAACAGCATTTAAATATGCATAAATGCATAAAAATACTATCGATAACGTAACGAAATTCCTCACACGAAATTCAAATGCAAAATTCTCAGAAACGGAACAAAAAATCGTATAATAAATTCTTGAAATTCCCTTAGTTTGTCATTGTGAACATGATCTAAAAGATGAACTCATATATATTAAATGTAACTTATTTTTATGCATTTTATTTAGGCTAACAAATCATAACAAATTCAAGGAGAACTCACGACGAAAAGCAAAATTCAATTCAGGGATTTAAAAACCAAACCAAAAACACTATCGAAGATTTACAAGTATAAACGATGTATGTATGTATGTATAAGTACTTCATGTCAAAGTTGGGCAGATGCTAAACGAATCGTTCACAAAGTACAAAACTTCAGTCAACCAATAAGTAAACTAAAAGCTATACACTAAATCGAATAAATCCTAAGTAATCTACAATTGTGAACTAAGCTAAAGAATCGATCACCTATTCGATGGTTCTGAATGTCGTAATGCCTCTTTGATACCACGAAAGCATGTATAACTAACGAAGTATTTCTCTAAACCCAATGCACATAGACGAATGATAAAGCCAACCGATTAAGTGCACAGTAATTTTATTAGCAACTTGATGTAAATTGGATCGTGCGAGTCTCTTTCACAGCCCCGTACGAGTAGTTATATAAGCCTGCCGATGCCAAGTACATACACATACTTACTTTCCTGCACGACAGTACAATGCCGATAGTCACATCATACAACAAACATACATATAGGTCTAGCTGCGCATTTTCGCACACCAGTCGAATACCAAATTGAATACAAACTAATATGCATAATTTCCGAAATATTGTAACAGTTCCATATACTATAAATAAATAAAACTTCAAACTAAGCTAATACATTGCTCAACCAAGGTACTTTTAATGTATCATTAACAGCACGAAGAGAACGAAGTGCCACATTAAAAATAGCTAGCATAAGAATTCCAATTTTGACCTTTTTATATAATCCGAATTTCGCAAAATTCCATTTCTTATATAGGTTCCTTATCACAAAAGTACCCTTATGCCATTTGCTCGCACATGCTGCCAAAATCGTTGCCTACTTTTGGGAGCACCATATAAATGTAGGGATCTTATCGATAGTTCTACAAAGCATTCTCCAATCAGAACAGCTGAGTACTCGGATTGCTATCAATTAGCATAAATAAATAGGTTTTTTTCCTAACATAAGTTGTGTTACTCAATAGAAAGAAGGTTCAAAGAAAATATATGGCTTCTGCTACACAATTGACCCACAAAGGCATCCACTTGGCCGGATTGTGCAGGTCCACCTGGTCCAAGCCCTTGTCCAGAAATATGGCAACAAAGCCCATACTGTATTCCTTTTGGGCTAGTTCGTGCTCTTGGAGAGTTCGCGCTGCACTGGCTATCAAGAAGATAGAGTATGACATTACGCCGACTTCCTTGCTGAAAACAGTCAGCGGCCATGCCTATACGGATGCATATAGGGAAGTTAATCCCATGCAAAAGGTTCCCTCCCTGAAGATTGGTAAGTGATGCAAGTGATACCAGCACCTTGAATGTATGAGTTATGCGGCATTAGATGGTCACACCTTGTGCGACTCGGTGGCTATTATGCACTACCTGGAGGAAACTAGACCTCAGCCCGCACTTCTGCCTCAAGATCCAGTTAGGAGAGCTAAGGTGCGTGAAATCGTGGAGCTCATTTGCTCCGGCATCCAGCCGCTGCAGAATGTGGGTGTCCTGGATCATTTGGGCAAGGATCAAAGCTTGCAATGGGCCCAACACTGGATTTCTCGAGGATTTCAAGGTCTGGAGAAGGTACTATCCCAATCGGCGGGTAAATTCTGCGTGGGAGATGAGCTCAGCATGGCCGATATTTGCCTTGTACCTCAGGTCCGCAATGCCAGGAGGTAGGAAACAGCACATAACCTAAATTCCCAAGAAACTGATTCATTTGAACACTCCCATCCAGATACAAAACTGACCTGACCCCATATCCCACCATAGTACGCTTGAATCAGGAACTACTGGAACTGGATGTGTTCAAAGCCACTCATCCCAGTACCCAGCCAGATTGTCCACCTAAATTCGCAAAGAAATAATCAGAGCTTAAGATATGTTACAATTACATTGCATTTGTAGAGATATTCGATATTAAATGGTTTTCCAAAGCACCCAATCCAAATCGAAGTGAAACCTCGCTGAATTATAATATAATTTTTATTAGTTTTGTCATTTTTATATAATCGTTCTTAAATGTGTAGTGTGTAATTCACGTAATTCATTTATGTACCGTCCTAACTTTGCATTTCTAATTTTCCATCCTGGATGCGGATCGTTATAATGTTTCTGTGTATGTAGTATGCACTTATTGGCTTTCCTGGTTGGAGTGTTTCTCTGTGGTTGTGTCTGCGTGTGTATATATGTATTCAACAAATTTTCTATAAATACTATTACATACATACAGATGCGCCGACGCATTACATAACATAACCATTACATTCGATATACATGCGTGTTCCGCACTGTACCTAACATCGGTACCGATCCATCGCCTACCTAGCTTAGCTTTCATTTTATTGTTGGCCGTTTAGCGCGCCATTACCGTAAGTTTTAGTCGCAATCTGCGTTATAATCTTGTTCGTTTTCGTTTTCATTTTCATTTTTTGTTCGAGTATGATTCACTTGGGGTTATATAGCTATGCATATATATGTATGTAGAGAGGAGTAACTGTTTGCATACTTTTTGTTCGCAATTGTACAGAATTTCTTATCGTTTTGTTAAATTGCAAAAATTATGTTTTTCTCGATTTATTAAAACTTGAATGAGCTACTTTAAAGAATCTTCTTGTAGGGATACCTTTTGATTTAATTGTTTAGAGATTTCACTAGACTATTTTTCTGTTACTTGTCGTACTTTTCGGTTTTGGTTTTGGTTTCTCGTTTTTTATTTTTTGTTTTCAAATCTATACCTCGTTAAATGAAATTGAGCGAAATAAAGAAAACCTATTTTATACCGTGGTTATGTGTGATCTTTTACCATAGCGATTTTCAAATGCTAAATGAATAAATCTATAAAATCGTTTGCTTTGCTACTTGATTTTTAAAAAACTTCAATTGATTATACTTTGTAAATAGAGCATAACTAAATATCGTTGATTTCATTTCGCATTTATTTTGTTTACTTCAATTAGGACCTTCAGTTTCCTTTATTTTCGGTTCATTTGCACTCAGAAAGGGATTTGGTTTGCTAAAATTTTATTTAAATATTTTGCTAATATGTATAAGTAAAACTGTTTCACTGCGCAATGAATTTTCGTGTTCATTACGGCTATTTAATCAACATTCTCTACTTTCTCCACCAACCGAATTGCCGGATTGCTGTTTGCCTTATTTTCGCTTTTTATTGTTTTTTTTTTTTGGAGCCATCATTTTATTTCGCACCTAGGTTAATATTACATTTGCACTGTATTTACATACATTTAAATACTCTATATACGTTAATTTGTTTACACCTTCCGACTTCATTTCTCATTTTGTCATTATTATTATCACAGTCAAATCATAAAAGATTTAGTACTTTTACTTTTGAATGAGTTTCCATGATGTTTGCTTGTTTTTTTTTTTTTTGCTAATGTTCCGCGCTTTCGAATGACCATCTATCCGATCCGAGTCAATATCGTTATAATTAATTCTTCCCTATAAACCTATTGAGAGATCGAAAAGTGTGGCTGCTGCAGCTGCTGCTGTTCGTATTTCCTATAGTGTGCAACTGAATCTGAATCTGAATCTGGAGTGAAGAGTGCGCTAGTGTTTCTAGATCGGGGGATATATAGATATATCCCCTGCTCCCAATTGATGTCCTTGCAGAGGATCGCAAAGTAATGCCCTCGCATCAATTGCACCGCTTGGGATCTCTAATCGCTTGTATAAATGAGAGTTACTACGAGTTGAGCGAAACATTGGACTTTGGGGACCGGGATCTGTTGCTGATATTGGCCAGATATCGTGAAGGCCGTAATTTCTATGTAACTTTTGTTTCTGTTTTCTAAGGTACTCACGTATGCAACTTCCTAGGTTGGGTTGCGAAAGTGTTTAAGTGAAGAAGACTCGAAAATTCGACTTTTACTTGTTACGATTCGAAAGTTAATATTCATTTGCCGTTAACTATTTTGTACACTGAATAAGATTTCATTGAATTATGTTTTCACTATGACTGTGATGTAGTTTCATGAATTATGACTTATGGCTAGGATCATTTAACGACATCCCATGCTGCACAGCAATATCTCGTGCATTGGGCTTAGTTTTCATCGATCATTGGGGGAGTTTAAAATCTTTTGCGGCTACTTTACATATTTTTGATGCAGACCCACGTGTGTGCTAAATGAATTGTGCCAAATGGAAACGCAGATAAATAAATAAATAAATAAATAAATAGTTTTTTGGGGTCCGTGCCGAGCTGCAGTTTTCATTGTCGGAAAGTGGAGCCCTGCACGTCCCTTTTTCTTGGGTACTGGGTTCTTTTGTTTGAATCGTTAAACCACTTTTATTTGCTTGAATTAATTAATATTAATTTTATTTATCACACTAACGACTACGTTTTATACTTTTAGTGTATGTGTATATATATATAGTATTTAATATTTTACTAATGTTGTATGCTTCTGTTGTGGTTGCTGAATGAACGTCTACGCCTCTGCAGCCGAGTTGGTTCGGCCGATCCGATAGAATTTTATACATACAATGCTATATGAGGTTATATAATGATTCAGTTAGTTCTCCGACCTATCAATACCGGCAGGATTCGCGTCGAATCGCAAATCGCAAATCGCATGTTCGCTTTTTCAATGTATGTTTGTGGGTATACGTACAGGTATATCATATGCATATGGGGTGTGTACATTTATATGTATATAATGCATACGCATCGTAATGTTTAATTGTTCTAATAACAGTGTGGGTGGCAAAGCATAACAAATTATAGTTAAAGTTACTCTCATCGCTCTTTTCGCTTCTATTCGCTTTAAGTATGTAGTCATGTATGTATGCAATATTTGTATGTACTATACGAGATTTGATTGATAAATTGAACTCCTCTTTACATATTTGTATTTTAGCAACATACGGTTTTCATTCCGAAGTGCAAAACTCATTTGCACTTCGCTATATATTTCTTGTTGGTATTTTCGGTTTTCTCAATCATTAAATGTTCAAAGTCGAATTTGAATTACTTTAGATATTTATGTACTGTATGTATATAGTTAATAAAAGTCGCTTTTATGCTTACTACTTTAACACTAATAGACTCCGTCGTTGAAATAACAGCTGTATTACATTCTTTTCCCTACCGCCTATCCATCTCTCCATCGTTATTGTTGTAGATGCCTTTCAATAAGTTAATAAAACTCCTAAGCTTCTAAAACTGTGTGTGTACTGGGTGAATCGAACTGAATGCGCACGTCTTTCCAAAGCTTCCTAGTTTCGTATGATTGCAGTGGGTAGTTGGTTTCTTGGACAGTTGGATAGTTGGACAGCTGGATAGTTGGATAGTTGGTGCTCGGGAGGGGTGTTGGTGCCGATAGAGGATGAGTTGCATGACGAATGTGCCTGATAAGTGGGGTTTCGTGGATGCCAGTGGCAGTAACAGTGGTATATCGATGGACAGCACAAAGCAATCATGCGGCCGCAGGACTCTGCCTAAATGGTGCAACTTGCAGCTTGCAACTCGCATTTGGGGGCATATGGTTTTTGGGGGTTGCGTGAAGCTTCAATTTGTACAGCAAATAACAAACGCATTTAAACAATAAAATCCAAACAAGCATAAACACGTCGAAAGCGGGACACGGCTCCTTCGAACCGAAGGGATCGGATCTGATCTCTCATCCGATCGGTTCGATGCCCGGAGTATCTGCATCTCCATTTCCCCGTCTTCCCTTCGTCACGCCCCCTCAGCCACGCGGACGTGTGGGGGTGGGGGGGTCTACTCTATTGGATCGCATATCGGACATTTTCTGAGAAACGGAGTGGTTGGAACTGGCAAAGACCTTTTGCGGTGAATACGTATGCATATGGGATTGGGGACTTGGAGCCTGGAGCCTGGAGCTCAGACTCTCGCGGACTGTCCATGCATCGATCGATGAATTGAGAACTTGATTTCGGGGGAGATTTGTTGCTTTTCAAGTAAAGCTTTTCTTTTCTCTTAGTTGTCTCATTAAAAAATTAATTATTTCATAATTAATTTCAAGTATCGTTTGACTTCCTTTAATAAATATATTTTTGCTTTGTTTTGTTGTTTTCATTTTTTTTTCCATTGTTGTTTTTAAATACATATCACAGATCCAGTACAAATATAAGTATATATATTTGTGTTTATTTCTTCTTCCCTCCTCAACTACGTTTAGATATCATATCATATAAAACTCATACATTAAACATAACTCAGTGAGCACGCGCAAGTGATACTGATACTGATATTTAGTACGAATGTGTGAATGTATGCGAGAGGTGTGTCTCAGCTGAGGTGTGTTACTCAGGTGTATCTCATGTGGGTGTGTGCGTGTGCGAGTGTGAGTGTGTGTGTGTATGCTGGGGGTTGTGAGTTGGCATCTGCGATAGATAGACCACATAGATATAGTGCTTCGATTCGGGGGCTCTGAAACTCCCGATCGGACAAAAGGCGAAGAAGTCGAAATAAATGTCGTTTGTTGTTGGATTGGTAGGTTGATTGGTTGGTTGACTGGTTGACTGATTGGCTGATTGACTGATTGATTGGTTGACTGGTTTTTGTGGGGTGGACGAAGGGGATCTGTGTTTTTATGCTTGTTGTGATTTTGGCTGTTGTTGTTTGTTAAGCTACTTTTTCAAAGTTGTAACTGTGGAATTCTGCTGTTCTAAGACGGTCTATTGCTTTTATGTACTTTCAAATTGTATCGATGTCTGGCTTTGACTTGACTTGACTTCTTGTTGCTTTTTTTTCTTTATGATACTCATAAAATAATAGGTTCGAATAAAACACCAACATCGTTTTCCTTATACCTTCCCCTTACGTTTTCGATTTGTTTTTTCTTTTTGGATGTTAATGCATATTTCAAGGCACACTAGCATTTACGACTGTACTTTCAAATTTACTCTCTGGATTTTTGTTTCCACATTAGCTTTAGTTTGCTTATAGAACTCTTTCGTTTTGTGTTATAATTATGTTCTGTTTTTCATTTGATTTTGTATTTTAATCGTATTATATAAATATTGCACAAATAAGAACAATTGTAGGTAAGTTTTAACAATAATAGCAAAAATTAATAAGAACAACTTTCAACTTAAATATATAGACTTAGCTTAGGATTGGTTGCCGTTGTGGTATTTTGTTTGTTACTTTTTTACCTTTCATTTCACTACGGTGATGAGCGTTTTCAGTGATTGAATCGATTTCGAAATAGATATCGAACTGAGCTAAGAAGTGGTTGACTGATTGACTGATTGACTGGCTGACTGTCTGATTGAGTTGATTTTGATTGGTCATGATAATGTTGTAGACTGAGTTGGTTTGGTTTGGGGATACGATTGGGTTAGTGGTGGTGCGGTGGTGCGGCGCTTGTGGGTGGTGGATGGGTGGGTGGTAATGGTGGTTGCAGTTGGTGGTGGTGGTGGTGGTGGTGCGCAGGACGCTCCAAAATAAACAAGAAAATAAACGTTGCTGGTTTTTATTGTTGGTTTTGTAGACAAATTTTATTTAAATTTCGTTTCATCTTCGTTTTATTTATCGAAAAGAAGTGTTAAACTAAATTATATGTGTAAGGAATAAAGTAAATAAGAAAAATTTCATTACAAGTAAGGCATTTCTCTCTCTGTAGGTGAGTGGTGTTCGTATGGGTACTTTTATCCTTGTGTATTTTGTGTGTATATGAAGAGGAAATTTTTTTTTCAAATGTGATGTTAACATCTTTTGTCTTTACACTGCGTTTCTAGATAGATATGTACATATAATCGTTATGAAATGTTCATTGAAACAATGTTTAATAATTGCACAATACTTAAAATTAATAAGGGAAATTGTTTGGTGGATTGTTTGTTTTGACGTATGAAGAAACCCCTAAATGAATGCTTTAATGCGAATATTTTACAAAGAAATAATTGTTTTGCTAAGGTTTTTTATGTTGTTTTCGTATTCTTTTTTTTTTAAGATATTTGTGATGCATTAGGTGAGAGAAAATGTACGACTTAAAATTAGAATGTGAGAAACAAATGTGCTAAATTTACCAAAAATAGTGGTTAACAAACGCAAAATGACAAGAAAAAAAAGAGAAGGTAAGAAGTGCAGTTCTCAGACTGGCAACTAACAAATCGCAATGTGTGTGTGTTTTTTTTTCATAAATAATATGTATACATAAAACAAAAGTTATAAGGAGTAACAAATCGGGAGCACAAAATCATAACCAAAAGGAGACTCACGTGCGCGCGCAACACATTAACACCACTCGATCCGATCCGATCGAATCCAAATCGACTCTAATCGAATCGAATCGTTTCGGATCGGATTGTATCTAAAACTAAACAACATTATCATGACCAACATCAACTGTAGCGTTCCGAAAGTGTTCATATACAGAGGTCAGGCTGCAGAATAGTAGGTGGATAGTATATATATATATATTAGCAGCGATAAGCAATTAGAGGGAGTGGGGCAACAACAGAGAAAAGATGGAACAGAAAACTTTAACGAAATCACGAAAAGGTCAACAAAGTCACTCTTAGTTTTGCTTAACTCTTTGAAATTGTATGTTTCACTAGCCTGTTTGCAGTTGCAGTGTAGCAAGTGTTTTTGTCTGTTGTGGTTTTTGTGTAGTAAAATATTTACCTTATTTCGAGGGTAAGAATCACCTGAAGTTTTCACTGAAAACGCTCGCTCATTATACATTTGATTTTCGTTTAGCTCAACATAATGCTAATAATTAGGTGTGTGTGTTTTTGGGGAAGGCGGTGTGTAAGTGTGTAAGTGGGGTGGTGGCATATGTATATATATATATGTATGGGCATATGTGTGTAGATAATATATATAAACAAGACTCAACAACTGTGTACATATACATATGTATATATGCCCCATGTATCGTAACGTATAGCTTGGTTGGGAGTACCAAAAACAAAACACGCAACGCAAACATACGCATCACAAACAAACCAAAAACCCAAACGCTCTTCTTTCGCAACTAGTTTGTGTCTAACTGGCAATTGGCAATTGGCAATATGACTTGTTTTCGATTTTTTCGTTTTTTACGATCGCGACAAACAAATGCAACAATGTATAGCCGAGAAGGTGGCACATTTGTTATATAGTACTTGTATTTTTACAGATTTTTTACTACTTCTCGTCTCGTTTTTCACTTTCTTAAAGGGCGTTAGTTAAAGCAAATCTCTCGAGGTGAAGGCCTTGGAACTGTTTACTCAACAAAAATTTATGGATGTTGCAATACATTATTATTATTATTTTCGATTTTAACTGCTTAACTCTGAGCTGCAAGCATAACAATTGGTGTTTCCTTTCTTTTCATTTCATTTAATTTCATTTTAGTTTTAGTTTTGAAATTTTCCTCTCGTTTTTCAAGAAAATTAACAAGTTTGAGAGGAAAATCGTCGGGGTAAGGGATAGTTTGTTTGTTGTTGCTTTGCTTTTGCCTGTTTGTTTGATGTTCTGTTAAGATTGCTGGTTTGTTGCTTTACTCGGGGATATTAGTTATTATTATTTTTGTTTGATTTATTTTAATTCACAACAGTGGTTAATGGAATTTGTCGCGCCCTCTTTGTCTCCTCCTCGTTGATTTTCTGTTCAATTAGATATTGCGCTTTGGCAATGGCACTCGGCTGACCAGTTATGGTTACAATGCGATTTCTAGTGCCAGGTGCGAATATGCCCTTTTTGGAAATTTGCACATTTGCGCCAGAAACATGTTGAATTTCAACTAAACTACGACCGTTCGGACCTGGAATATTTGCATCAGATTTATGTTAAATATTTTCAGATAGTAAATGATAGTATGGGTAATATATGTGGGTATAATAGTAATACATATACTTGTATGTTATATATATGCATATTAGGTATAGCGCTAAGGTGTTAAGGACGCCAAAAATGAAAAAAAAGTTAACAAACCAAAGAACAATGGTCAGTTTGCTGCAAAAAGGATCACGGAGAGCCTAACCTAATGACCTAACGACCTTACAACTGACACTGAGGTAAAATCAACTGCGCAACAACGAATGTATTTAAATCAAAAACAATGTAATTATATTTTACGCATGGTTACCCAAGAATTGCACTAGCCAACTGGGCGATCCGCCCAGCTACACGTAAGTATATCGAACAAATTCGTTAGGCCTAAACAAAATGGAAAGCGAATGTGGTATTCAATCTACAACCTAACTGCTAAAGCTAATGCCTTATAAACCTTACAAGCTATCGGATGCTGCTGTTCTGTGCGAATTTTCAGTGGGTTTTCGTGGTATCGGGGAAATTGATCGGTTTACACGGTGGAATATCGCAGGGTTCATGGATCAAATGCTGGCGGATGGGTGAGAGGCAAGAACTTGACTAGAAATTTCGCTAAGTGTCAATGAATTTAGTAGGAAAGCCTTTGGGAATGTCTATCGGAATGTCTAGGGTCTCACGGAATGCGTTGTATGCTTAGAATGGTATATCTCAATAAATCGAACCCTTTCCCTCTTTCTGGAATGAGTTTGAAGCAATGAAGTGCCTGTGTCTGCTTGGCTTTTGTCTCTATGTCTAATGGCTCTAGGGCTAATCAAAATGGGATTGGGATCAGAGTGGGGGAGTAGGTTGTAATCCCCCCCTGCACTTTCACAGGTGAAACTTGGTGGGGCGTTTGGGGATTGGTTAAAAGAAAATTGCGGTGTGGTTGGTTCTCTGTTGGTTGGTTCTTTGCAATTTAGTAGGGATAATAATAAGGACGCGCACCTAGAATAGCGCCGATAATCACTTCCGGCACCTCGACGTTCTTCGAGTCCTTGGAGCTAAGGTCGCCCGGAGTGGGACTCTTGCTTAGACCGCCCAGCTGCGCCGTGGTCGCCGTTCCCGTGGCTGCCGTCAGCCCAAAGCTATTGTTGTTCAGTGAGACGGGCGTGGCGCCCGGCGCCGTGGCCGAGCTCAAATGGCGGAATGGATCGAATTGCACTGCGGCAGCGTCCAGTTGCGACTGCGTCGGCCGGCTGGCCGCAGCTGCAGCGGCCGCCGCTGCGGCATATTGCTCCAGATTCACCTGGCCGACGGCACCGAACACATTGCTGGCGGTGGCCGCGGAGGCGGCGGCCGCTGTCTGCTGGTCCAGCGTCGTTACGCCCAGGAAGTTGCCCAGCGTCGAGTGGGCGCCGTTGGTGTGCGAGACACCCACGCCCATTCCAAGGACACCGTACTTGGCCAGCACGCCCAGAGCGGCGACGACTTCGTTCGTTACGGTCTCCGAGTAGCCAGAGCCGCGCATGGCAACCTGTGTGGATAATACGGAACGCAGATTAGGTATACGCCACGTTCACTAAAAGGATTCGCAGGTCTAACCTTAATATGCTCGAGCAGCTGTGTGGCAACCGCCAGATTGGGCGCCGGATTGGGTGAGCCCAGATTGATGGACAAATTGATGCCGGTGCCGTTGACTAGCAGGCTGGCCGCCGAGTTCGCACCGCCGATCGTGGTGCCCAACGTGGAGTTCAACGAGGCGGTGCTCGAGTTGATGGCATTCTGATTGGTGGCGTACGGGGAGCCGGTCGGATTAAAGTTGGCCACCGGGCCGCTGACGTCCGCGTAGGAGACGTTCAGGCAGGTGCCCGACTGGGGATCTTCGACGATCTTCGAGAGGATCATCTTGCAGGCGTTCTTGTTGTTCTCCTTGTCGCCAATGATGGTGATGCAGCGCTCCTGCAGCGACACATCCTTGGGCTTCTGCGAGATCTGGACATAGGAGCCGCTCTCCTCCTTGATCTGTTTAATGAAGGCACCGCCCTTGCCAATGATCATGCCGGCAGTGGAGTTGGGCACCAGGATCTTGACCTGCTTGTCGCGCTCCTGTGTCTGTTTGGACTCGGCGTCGACGATCTTGTTGGTCAGGTCGGGCTTCTCGCGGATCTTGTCCATGATGAACTCCAGCACGACCATGATGGCCTCCGTGGAGCCGGTGATCAGGCACACGCGTTCGGTGGTGCCTGCAAGGCAAGGATTAAGCCATTACTTTTCGTATACTTGGGGATTAGCAAGAGATAGTCGAGCACTCACCTGGGTAGAAGTCGTGCGACTTGGACATCTTGACCCTAGCACCCGTGTCCTTCTGCAGGGAGGCGATCGTCTCGCCACCTTTGCCGATGATGGCCCCGGAGGCCACCGCGGGCACCAGTATTTTCATGTGATACGTTGTCTCGCCTGCAAGGAAAGAAGCGAGAGGAGTTCACAGGGCGACCAATGGATTAGTCTCGGGAGATTCTCTTGGATTGGGAAACTATTCATTTTTTTGTTTGGTCAATAGATTGATTGGGGGTTTGGTACTGGTTAGTCTGTGTGCGCCCTTGGCTGTTGCATACAATCTAGTTATCTGGTTATTTTGTTGGTTAGTTCTAGTTTCTAGCTCATTCGGCAGGTTACAGGTTACAAATTAAAAATAATAACAGCATTTCGGCGTCGATCGTTTGTTCGTTCGGCTGGACGCTCACAACGAGGGACGTTCGTAAAGTTGAGCTTCAACTCGATTAGTTTGGTTATAGTTTTCAGATAGATAGTTTTGGATTTCGACTTGGTTTAGTGGATTAGCATGGTTCACTGCTGTGTGGTCATGGATTGGTTATGGTGGTGTGGGCGTGGACATGGGCGTGGACATGGGCGTGGTGTATCGACTGTGGTCTGTTGGTTCTTGTTCTGTGGTTTTGTAATGGGCAAGCCATGAGGAAGATATGCGCTCGAGATGAGATGGAACAGACAATGCTGGCGACACACTAAACATATGAAAGCCCGTTTTTACTGCTCCTCCGAAGGTCATTTTGGCTTGGCCGAAAGAAAAAGCCCCGCAAATTACTTGGGCAAGCCGCAAAAGCGAAAATAACAAAAACGAAATAAGTACGCAAAATGTGAGTCAAAGCATAAGTCGGTCAAAGGGTCGAAGGTTAATGTGCTGCGTTGTCAGTCGGGTCGCATAATCAGTTTTCGTTTTCAGTCCGTCCAAAGTCTTAAGGCTTGAAAAGCGCCATTTCGTCAGCGGCAGCGGCAGCGGCAGCGCCATAAAAAACAGACTGCGATCTAGTTACAGATAGTTACAGATACAGAAAACGATATAGAACTACGCTTTAGTCGGTATTAATCTTGAATTAGTCGACCGTTTTGGCTAGACAAAGATGGATTTAATGGTATTTAATGAAAGTGTGACAAAGCTTACCATGATGAATATGATTATTGTTATTATTTTCAATTTCAACCTCAATTCCAGAACAAACTGACTCACCTGAAATGGAAAGAAAGAAGACAGAAACAATGATTATAAGTTGGGATCTGAAGGCAGTGCACGCGGCGCTACACGGCTATGTGAATGTGATGGGAATGTGGCGAATCTCGTGGATGCAGTGGGACCTCCCTGCGTATTAGTGATATCATCTGCGTCACACAGCCTCAAGTCGCCGACAAACGACAAACGACAAACGACAAGCGACAAACGAGACAACCCACGGCAGCCAGCAGTAAGTAAACAAACAAATTTCAATTAATAAAATGTGTCAAGCGGAGACGCTCCATTACACAAGCGCATTGGCGAGGAAAACAACGAGATGGAATAGAATGGAACGGGCATGGTGGCATGGAATGATCTAAGCGCGTTGCACCTGACTGGCTGCGACTTGTGGCAGCCCAAGACTCTGCCGATGCCACTTGGCGCACTCGGTTCGTTTAAATTTAGCCGCCATCCGCCCCCTGGGCACCACCACAACCAGCAGCGCCACCCAGTTCCTTTCGGCATGGGTGAAATGTGTGCCACCCGCTGACGTTGTCGTCGTCTTGCTCCCGTTGCCACTCAGCGGCCGAGTGTCCTTCAAAAGTATTTCTCTAATTAGATACAGCGCGCACACACCACACACCACACACCACACACCATGATGCACTGACATTGCCACGGACTTTGGGTACGGGCATGGGTAGTCGCTTGGATTGGGGGAACATTGGACCATTTGCCCTGCTTTGCATGCATGTGTGAAAGTGCGGTTCGCAAGGAATGCGCCACATATGTATGTATCTAGCACCATGCTGGCCAATTTCCGCCACTGAAGCAATTGAAAGTGCGCCGGACGCATCTGTCAGTTATCCATCACTTATGAATAGAGTGTGAATGGAGTGCTATCCGTGAAATTTCTTTGCGTACCAGAATGCCAAAGAAAATTGTACTGCAATGCAAAATAGTCGTAAATATGCGAGAACTGCAAAATGGCCATGGGAAACAAAAAAGCGAGAAAACAAAAACATAGAGTCGTTTGCTTAGCGTTTTATGGGCCACAAAGGGCTGGCCAAGAACGCTGCTGTGAAGCTGCGTTGCTGTTGACACTGTGCAGCAGCTTGAATTATGTGACTGTCATAAATAACACTGGCAGCACATTGGCCAAAGGCCGCCCATCGAGCTGCAAGTGGGCGTGGCAGGGCGGCAGTGTGGCAGTGTGGCAGAGCTTGCAGGATGGCAGCAGGCAGACTGGCAGACTGGCAGACTGGAGACTAATTTCGTATGCATTGTGTGCAGGATTGGACGGGAAACTAGGCTAACGACAAGCTGGCACACAACCCACTGCACCCACTGCACCCACTCCAACCCCAAACCACAATAAATGCCACGGAGCAATCTGCAGCACGCAAATTGCTGAAGCAAAGCCCGAGCAGCAAGTGCTCGTCGCGTACCACGCGACGTATGCGTAATGCGGCGACATGTGGCACGCGATTAAGCGATTGGATCCTGCAGACGACAAGTATGTTTAATTTCCTGCGCTTTAAGGACACTCGCAATAGATGAATTGCTTGATCAGATTTTGCAATAACCAATTGGAGCTGCGTGCGATTGAAACTCACTGAAATCCAAATGAAACCCCATGTATATCTTTATGCAACACTCATGAATCACTAGGGCATGCTGAAGGAAAGTGTTGCATATACACAAGACACAATATTTTAAGACACATACGAAATTGAAATGGACGCCCACATTTAAGCGCACGATTAGCATATGAGATTTTTATATAGTCGATTGTGGCTGTATAATTTTGGCTTTTGCTTTTTCTTCTTTTTTGTAGCTAGCTGCTTGTTTCTGTTTTTGCTGCTTAGTTTTTTATGAGTGTTTGTTGGTTTGGTTTTATTTGCTGTGTGTATCGGTATGTGTGCTGGATTGGATGTTGGTGATGTTTGGATTATTTTCTTTCAAAACTTTCAACGCAATGTTAATGGATAACTCATTTATAGCTTGTGGCTTCGTGTTCGGCATTCAGTTCGTTTGACATTTGGGCGTTCTTGATTTTTTTCTTTGTACATTTCTATTTTATTTTTTTTTTTTGGTTCAGCTTTAAGTTGCTGGCGGCATTTAGAATGAGGCGACGTGGTGATTGATGCTGTTGTTGGCTGGTTGGTTGATATTTTGATATTTGTTGGTTGTAGCGAGCTCGATAGTTATAGTTATAGATAGAGAAGTGGTGTACATTTTATGTATGGTGTAGTAGAGGAAGTTGTGCGCAACTTTTGATTTGATAGTTCTATGCTGATGTTGATTGCGTTTGTTTGTTCTTAATCAGACTCACCGTAACACCAGCAGGAGTTAGTCTTATAGCCGCCCAGCTGCAGTTGCTGTTGCGCGTGGCTGCTGCCGTTGCCGTTGCTGTTGCTGTTGCCGTTGCCGCTGCCTCCTGATGCGGCTGCTGCTGCTGCAAGTGCTGCGGCCGTGTTGCCACTCGCTGTTGCAGTCGGCGTCTGGGCACCTGGCGTACCATTTGGCGAACCATTCTCACTCAGGGGCGACAGATCCATCTGATGATGCGGAACATGACTGGGATTAGCCGGGTTTTCTATTTGCCTTTGATAGCTATGAACGGCTAATGAGTATGCAGCGTTGCTATGATTGCTGTTGCTGATGTTGCTGATGTTGCCGATGTTGCTGATGTTGCTGATGTTGCCGATGTTGCTGATGTTGCTGCTGCTGCTGTCGCTGCTGCTGCTGTTGCTGCTGCTGCTGTGGCTGCTGCTGCTGCCGCCGCTGGCCAGCGAATGTGTGGATGAGGGCGACGACGTGGTTGTGGAATGTCGTGGCTGATAGTTAAAAGCTAATTGCTGCATATGTGTGGGCTTTGATTGCTGATATCGGTATGTGAGATGTTCGTTTTCTGGTTCTGGTTCTAGTTGCTGTTCATGCTGCTGTTGGTGTTGTTCTTGCTGTTGCTGTTGCTGTTGGCTTTGATGTTGCAGCTGCAGCTGCTGCTGCAAGTAATCAAAGCCAAACTGCTGAATCAGCTGCTCGGCCGCCTTGTCCATGGCCACCTTCATAATACTCTCCATTGCCTTGGAATTGTTGCCGTTCCCGTTCAGTCTTCGGTTTGTTTGCGACGGAATTGATGCTGCCTTGAATCGATTGTACTCGTTTCGCTCCTTATTCAACTGATCAAGTGATCAACTAATTTATGCGTTATTTGTTTGGGATTTGTTATATATCGTAAATTGCAATTTGAGGTTTCTTGAGGTTTTTCTCTTTACTGTTCAGTGTTTTGATTGAACCTACGCGCCGCTTTCCAATCATTAAACTTTGTTCAATAAACGAAAGAAAAAGAAATGGAAAATTTGTTTAGATTAAGCTGGCTTTTCATAGGTTTCTCTGCTGACCACACACACACACACGCATGGATTAGGTGGCGAGCGGGAGAGAGAGAGAGGGAGATAGATAGTTAGAGCATTTCAAGGACCTTCGCATTCTGTCTCTTTCCCGCTCGCAATCCATCGACATTGGAATTGCATATTCATTATAGATACATCGAGTTTAATGGCAATCGAGTTGTTTGTAAGGCTTTGGACTGTGCATTTGTTGCTATTCTGTTCTTTTTTCTACGATTTGTTTGGGATAATGCTCTTCATGATGATGCGGTGGTTGTAAGTTAACATATAGAGATATATAGAGCGGGTTGAAAGAGTGGTGACTTCGCAGTGGTTTTAGTAGGTCGCTCGACTTCCGGATGACTTGATTTAGTTCGATTTGATTCGATAGCTGACGTTAGCTGGATATTGATTAGATATTGGTGTTCTTGGATGGCGATTTTAGTGTTCTTCTGTTCTGGTGCGTGGCCTTTGGCCATTCATTTTTTTGGTTTCTTGATGGTTTCTTGTTAGATAGTTTGTACGATAACAACAACAACAATTACGATGCAACTGGTATATAGTTCATATAGGTAGAAGGCGGAGTGAGAAACAGACAGAGACAGAGAAAGCGGCAGCAGCAAGCTTCAGCAAAGGTATTGATTGATATACTGTCGATTGTCTTGGATGGAACTTATATCCCTCGCATCGGAACAATAATACTTGAGATACATATTCGCTTACAGACATGAGTAGTTGGATGACAATTGGTGCTATGGCGATATAGAGAGATAGTATGTCCATGTACGATTGCGTTTGTTAATGACGATTGTTACACAACATCCAGAAATGCTATGGAAGACATTTAGAATACAACGCCAAAGCTTTACCATTCAGCTGTAGAGTTGAGCTCAAGTTCACAGTTCAGAGTTCACAGTTCAGAGTTCGCAGGATTCGATCTGAAGTGGTGTTGCAGGTGCTGTCGATTCTATAATACTTGAAGCTTGACTCGATGACAGGACGGCGATCGATTGTGAGGATCTATTGCTGATGTGTTGCATTTGTTTGGTTTGTTGTTTTTCTCGATTTGATGTCAGTCGTTTTGATTGGATTTATAACTTTCGGCTTTTCTATATTGTTTATAATTTAGTCATGGCTTGCGTAGCTTTATCACAACATATTTTAACTGCTTTGCTTGCTTGGTATATCACATTTGAGTTGAGTTCGATTGAAAGTTTCATTGGTTTTGTGGGAATGCTGCTGCTGCTGGGTTATTTAAAAATTATACGCGACTTTTTCTATTTTTGCTAATCGCACGCTTAACGTGGGGACAACAACAAAAACAACTGTTCGTGATTATTGAAAATGTTCTTTTTTATATACTTTGTGGATTGGCTCTCATTTCGTTTTTAACTTTATCGTTCTGCTGTGTGGCATGCACATCAATTTATTTTTACATTTTGTGTAGTATCTATAATTATATTTGCGCTATGGTTGGCTTTCGATAATTACAAGCACATTTATATGCATGAACGATAATGGTTAAAAAAAAGAACAAAATAAAAAAGAAACAAACAGAAAAACGATAATAAAAACGGTAATATGCAACACAGTGGTCGGATGTATTAAGAGCTGTAACAAATATCATGGTCGTATGAAATTGAGCGAATTGAAAGTATTTTAATTGATGGAACAGCGGATGCCAGTTGATAGTTGATAGTTGATAAGGTCTGCTGATGATTGGGCAAAAGCTGAAAATGATGATGGGATGGTATCTCGGCCTAGAACACACAATTACCATATTCCCCAATAACCAAATTCTACTCCCAGTTGATTGGAACGAAAAGACCTTGGTTCCATTCTAATAAACTTAATCACACGCACATTAAATGAGGCGCAACAATATTTTTTGAATAATTGCTGCTCTGTGATTTTCACTAATCATCCGAAGGCACAAAATAATAACTAAATTCAAGTTTGAATAGCTAAATGTCATCCGACGCGAGGGAGAAAAAACAAGCTTCGACTCTGAAACGGAAACAAACGAGTATCTGAAAAAGAAAAACACATGCCAAGTGGGCGTTTCTGAATACCTTTGTGAGATCATCTTTCACACAAACCGAAACCCTTTCGGCTCTTAAAATTGATTTATAGCTCTCGCCATTGAGAAGCACCACTGGCAGTAGAAGGCGAATTGCCAGCCCAATGGCCAAAACACCTGCTCAGACCCGTGAGTGTTGCCTAATGGCAGTCAAATTAACAACTGGTTGGTCAGAGCCGAACTCCGAGATTACACAATGGATCCAAAGTCAAGAGGCTACTGGCTGGAACTGGATGCGCCGTGGAAATGCGAATTTGTGGCACGCATAATTCACTCATTTCTCGGACATGTTCGCCACAAAGGCCAGAAACACGACAGTTGAGCAACAAAGCAAGAGTAAGAAGTATTGCCAAGAAAAATAAAAGTAAAACCACCAAATCCGTCTGCTCTTTTTGGAGCTGCTACGGTGGGGAAGTGGGGAACATGATGTGTGTTTTTATTTCTATTTATTTGGGGTCTTTTCTTATTCGTCTTGGGCAGAGCCCGAGCAACATGAGCGGTTTTTGGGCATGGCCACGAGTGTCTTGACTTATTTTTGGCTGGCTCTTTCAAACGAACACATACGAGTATGTACACACGCACACACAATCGCAGAGATAGAGTGAGACATGTTTGCCCACATTCAAATCGCTTTTCAAGGTTAAGTTTTGCCGCCGTTTTGCTTCCCGCATTTTCAAGACGGCAATTTCGTATTTTATTTTATATTTTTGTTAGAGCCCTAAGTACGACGAGTGCTTGGAGAGCTCGCACAAAAAATAAAAAAGACAGGCCGCGTGACTCTTGACTCTTGAGTTAATTACGAACAACTATGTAACTTGAAATTGATTTCGAGAATCAACTGATAATAAAGCCCGATCCTATTCAATCCGATCCCAGCTCGAGCTGAGGTCAAACTTCAACTCGACTTGTCGTTTGTTTAGTGCTTTTTTGAATAATCATTATGACTGGCATTGAACTGAATACATTGCTCTGTGTGGGTTTGGTTTGGTTTTCGCTTTGCCTTTGGCTTTTCAGCTATTTTCAAATGCTAATTTCGATGGAAAAGCCTAAGACTTCAGTCGAGAGAACAACAAGCCAAGTGGCGACCTTGAAACGCTAGATAAACCAAGTTAAAACAAGACGTTAATTGCCGCGTTTGCGATACGTTTACGTTGGCTAACATGAATATCGAAATATTACGCATACGCCGCGGTGTACGTGCGTGTGTATGTGTGACCGCCGCGGAGGGCTCAGGTGATGGCAAATACAGTTCGCAAAGCTCCTGGCAAATACCGAATGAGATAAACCCTATAATTACCAATGCACACGCTAATTACCAAGGTCAACAAAACAGGTGAGCACTGTGAGTTACACTTAACCGAGAAACGTACAGAAGCTTTGCTGCAGCTGAAACGCTGGCTGCTGATGGAATTGGTGTCCAAGCTGTTGAGGATCCTGCTGCTGCTGCTGCTGCTGCTGCATCATCATCGCGGGCGGACTGATCGACGTGGACGAGGTGGTTCTGGCGAACAACATGCTGCTGGCCAAAAGAGCCAAACCAATCGAATCACTGGCAAAATGGCTGCGCGGGGAGCTGGCAATTCGTATGTGGAAAACGAGCAGCAGCGAGCGATCGAGCGAGCGCACGAAACGAGCAACCAAACCGCACTGAAGAATTCCGTGCGAACGCAAAGACGGAGCCGCGACTCAAGCATAGAGTTTGCCAGAGAGCCGGAGAAGCGAAGAAGCGGAGAAGCGGAGAATGGGAGAATCTACATGGCGGGCGGAGAGTCTGAGAGTTCATGAGTCAGAGAGTGTGCGTTGATGATCATGATGATGTCGGCGCTGGCATGTATATATGTATATGATCTAATGCTGGCCCGCCGATGATTGCCTCACTTTACTCCGTGTCACTGGGTTCATTATCAACGGCGGAGAGCGGCAGGGAGAGAGGAAGAGAGCGAGCTGCAAAAGCAGGGGCGTAGAGACGGGTGGGGGCGGCGTGTGTCGAAAATAGAAACTGCTGTGGCAACATGTGATACGGAACGAGCCAACGTGATAAGGCAGCGGCGAAAAGAGTGAACGTGTCACGTTTTCACCCTCCGAAACGATGAGAATTCAATGGGTAAGCCAAACTAAGCGATTGGCCAAGCGATCCATAAGTTGTGCTTAAAGCCATTGAGATTACGTAAAAATGCGGTTTAAAACGATGGAATAGCAGCCAAATTCGATTCGAGGGGGATCACAGCGCGTTACTCTGCCACATTGTCAGTTTTTATCTTATAGGTGGCACAACTACAATTTGTTAAGATTGGAACAACCAACAGAGCTCTAATTAAGGCATACAAATATGAGATTTACTCGTTGTGCCACCACTGCTACTGACCCACGCTGCGTATGCGTGATAAAGGGACTTCAGATGACCCAATTATCGGAGGAAGCCGGGCTTGTCCTAATCACTGGCCCGAAAAGAGTGCCAAACTGCCTGGCCCCTTGAGTTATTAGTGGGCCACTCGAGATGCTCTACAAGTGCAGTCACACCAAATGCTTGGCCACTCGAGCCGCAACAATGGAATGCACCTAAGAATAAGGTAACCCAAAAACACGCCGCAGAGATACCAGTTCAGATTGTGGCCAAAACAGTGAGAGTGCAAGAGAGCACACACAGCCCCCGGGCAGTAAACGCACTTGAGATTTAACCATGCCATCTTCTCAGCAGCTGCAACTAGCCAGCCTGCCCACCCGGTTCTACAGGACCCACCACTCAAGGACGTTGCTGCTGCGGCTGCTGCTGCTGCTGCTGCTGCTGCGACTGCTTCGGCTGCTGTGGCGGCTGCAATGGCGCCAAATGCTGCAGTGCAGCTGAATGGTCGCCGCGCTCGAGGAGTTCGAGTCGTCCTACTGCGCAGGACCCTACCTAGAGGCAGGCAGCGTTGGCAGCGGAGCGACCTCACACACAGGCACACGCACACACACACACACACACAGATACAGATACACGTACGCACCCGCATTGTCATCAAAGTAGGTCAACCGCTTGCCATGCTGTCAACGTTTGCCGAGAGCAGCTCTCGCCTCTCTCTTTCACGGCGAACTAGAGTTCGCCACAGTATACACCCCCCAACTATTCGCACGCTTTTCCAGCTGCCCTGCCAGCACTGATTACATAAGCCTCGCCACCAGATACCAGCAGCACCTCCACGCTGACCCACCGCCCCGATTTTGCTCGATTTTACTGCATTTCCTTTGCAGCAGCCCCGCCAACTGACGCATTTCTAGTCCGGGCTACACGGAAAGTAATCAGCCTATGCCTGCTAGCATCCCAATATATGCCAAAATCTTAAATAGTTGCTTTAAAGAATTGTTGGATAACAGAGCTAACTTGTTGGGATTCAACGTGAAAACTTAAAATCATTCAAGCTGCTTATTTTTCTGTGTGCATTTGAACAACTTTGCGCTGCGCTCACCAACCACACAGAATTTCAGCCATGACAGTCATAAATAACATGAAAAAACTGAAAATATTAAATAGCTATCAAACAAAAAACAAATGACTGTCAAGGCAGCTAAGCAAATAAATTGCCAGAGAACTAATAAAACGACGACGTGGGTAAATACCCAAACCCATATGATATGGACCTGTTTCTGTTCTCTGTTTTCTGTTTTCTGTCCAGCAAACAGGCAGCCTCAATGGTGGCTAATTAATTACAAATGCCCAGCTGCACACACATGTAACGAAACTATTTATCTGGGCTCATCCATAATGCCATCGCTTGAATGGAAACTGGCCAAACAGCTGATAAAACGGTATTGCTTATTGGCAAACAACAAATTCTTAAGCAGAACTAGCCCATTAACTATTGATGTCAGCTTTAATGAATGGAATATGTGGAAATAGGTGATATTTACCTCTCTAACGAACTTGAACTTACTCAAACAGAGTTTCCGCATTCCAATTCACGAGATAAGACTTAAAATTTTGTAAGCAACATTAAGACAACACATAAAATTTGTTTTATTTTCCGTAGATATATATTTTTTTGGCTTTTTAACACCTTACGTATTTGAGAGAGCCTGCTTTGCTGAACGAAAACTGAGGACTAATCACCCCTCCATAAATTCCAATTGACAATCATCAAACGATGTAGCACGCTTAACGTTTCTGGCTGAATCCCCAGCTATCCGTCTAAATATCAAAAGCCAGCGGGGGCGACAGTGCGGCTCTAACACTTGCACCTTTTGCTATTTTCGTGGCTATGACGACAGGTACTTCGATTGCGTAGTGGCTGCTCACCTTGGAGCTTGCCAGCTGGTTTCGAGCCGAGCAAATCATGCAAAGCAACTAGTTAATAGCTCGTGGCCAGGCCGACTGACTGACTGGCTGACTGGCAGACAGACAGTATGGGTTTGGCAATGGAGCTCACGGATTAGGAGCTTCTTCTTTCAAATGCTAATCTGAGCAGTATGAGTTTTTGTGACCCCTCAGCAATCCCGACTGCAGTTCAGTTCATTGGAGCTGCTCAAAATGCCATTCGTTTGGAGCTCAGGGACGAAACGGACAGCACTTGTATCTAATTGCGGGCCATTGATGAAGCTGCAGGAGATTGCAGGCGGAGGTCATGCCCGAAATTGGGTCAAACTGGGCCCACAATGTCTCGGCGCCAAATCCTGCGCAAAGATTCAGCTGCCAGCCAGCCAGATACTAGGTACTAGATACTGGGTACCACTGTACTCGTATGCCATGTAACACATGCCAGTTGTCATTTTAAGATGTACAGTGTAGGAGTGTAAGAGTGTGCGTGAGGGGCCCTCGGGGCGTATACGCCATATCTGGCTTAATTACGAATCAAAGTCTGCTGGCTGTTCGTTCGGTTGCAAAACTGACATCGAACGTATTGGGGGCAAACTGCAAATGAATTTCTCGTGCTGATTAATTGAAACTTAACAACAAACGACAACAGCAACAATAACAAGAGCGACAAACGACTAAAGAAATAAATAAATAAGCAACCAAATCATAGATACTAGGTATATACATATATGTAGGTACGTATGTACATATATCGGGCGTATATATTGCGATACAACAACAACATGACCACACAACAAAGAAGGGAAACGGCACGATCGGCAGAAAAGTTGGGCAAACAAATTGAATGAGTTATTTATACGCTTCGGAGATAAAAAGCAGTGGATAGATAGATAACGAACGAGATATAGATATAGACAGAGCGTCGAGAGTTGAGGAGCTTAAGATTGATATCGAAATTGAGATTGAGATTGATAGAAAGAGAGAGAGAGAGAGAGCACGATAATGGGGATATGCAAGAGCGATTTGAGATACATATTTCGATTTCTTCCTTCTGCTGGCGAAATGAATTGGGATTCGATTTCGATTTGAATTTGAATTTGAATTTTGTTTTGGAATTTTGATTTGGATTTGGATTGGATTTTGGTCAACTTACCGGAACTGAAATGTGAGCGTTTAGTTTGTTCATTTTCCGGATCGGAATCGAGTGGCCTTTTGCGTGAATCGCCGATTTCAGGACTTGGACATGTCTCCATGGTAGCGTCTTCGGCCATTTTTAACTGAATGTTGCTGGTTTTGGTTATCGACTTTGACTGATGATTGCTTTAGCTTTTTGCTTTTTGCTTTGGGCTTCTGTTACGTTACTGTTGATCTTACTGTTTACTGTTCAGTTTCTATGTCTCGTGGATTCGGTTTGATTTGAATTGTTTGGATTTTGGATTGGATTGGCTTGGCTTGGATTTGATTGAATTGGATTGGATTGATTTGCTTCTGGTGTTTATTTTTGTTTTTTTTTTTTGGTTCAACGACAACGAAACGTTCGATGTTTGGTAATGAGGCGTCTGTTTAGCTTGGTATTATTTGGTTTTTGGCTTGCTTGGTATTGTTTCTGGTATTTCTGTTTGGTTTGTTGGTGCGTGCGAGCGAAAGAGCGATAGAGCGAGCGAGAGAGCGAGCGAACGAACGATCAAACGAGCGCAGGATGCGTCAGTCACTGTCCTATCGTCCTAGTCCTCGTCCTCGTCCTTGTCCAATGGATGCGATGCAGTTCGATTCGATGCGATGCGATGCCTTTATCGGGGGGATTCCGCCACTGGCATCTGAGAGATTGATGGGCTATGTGGATGAGGTCCTTGGTCCTTGGGTGCGCTACTGATGCTGCCACTCATGCACACACATGGAGGTACAGCTATCGATCGCTCTCAGTGACAGTGACAGTGACAGATACAGTTCGTGAACGTCGCTATATATGCATATGCACATATATTGATAGACTCTATTTACGATCCTTCTATGTTTCAGTTTTAATTTCATTAAGTTTTATTTTTTGTTTTTTTTTTTTTTTTGTAAATTGTTGTTTGGTGGTTTTGTGGTGGAATGTGCGAGTTTTGTTTTTTTAACGTTTATATGAAAAAAGAAAAAGAAAAAAATATTTATGAGTGAATTATGCAGCAATAATAAATATACATACAGTAAACATTTAGGCAATATATAGGTATGTTCTTCGCATTAAACTTGTAGATATAGATACAGTTGTCAGAGTGGCAATGCATTTCTCGAGTAGTAAAACACACATAGGTGAGCAACATTTAGATAGGCACAAACATTTAAGTTGGATTGGTTTGATTTGTATTGATCTTTCGTCTTCAAAATAAGCTATTTACAAAACGAGCAAGGCATCTTGCAACAATGGTTAAAAGGGGGCGGGATTTTCGGGTTGCACCGGGGGCGGTTCTTTCAAAAGCGTGGATTGTGTTAGGCATTCACATATCAAAAACTGTTCGGGGCAGGCAGATGAGGGATAGAGATAGATCGTTTGGAAGCAAGCTTGTGAGCGTTGAGCATGTGGAATGATGGAAAGCAGACGACAGGATGAATTACAGGACTCCACAGAAATAGTTTTGAAAGCAGGCCCCCTATAAGAAAGGATCCCATTTGTGGGAATGACGTTAGAAGGGCTGCGAGCACTCGGCACCTAAATGTACACCTTATAATTAGGATCTTATAGCTACCTATTTAATTTGTAACTATTATACTGAGTATACTGATTACCTAATGCGCTGAGTTCATTTCGCTGACCAATTTAATAAAAATAAGAAATCCTGCGCTTATGAATTGTTAATTTAAATTAGTTCCACCTAAGACCCATCTAATCAAGTCCGCGGCCCACGAAACAGTTTTAGTTACTTATGAATACCTGAGCCAGTTTTGTTATTTTCATAAGCAAGGCAATGAAACCCCAACTTGCAACTCAATTATGCATGAGATGTTTTATTTTATTATGATTTCATTGCTAATTAAAAATGCGACGACACAAAAACCGAAGCGCGGCCAACAGAAACAGCAACAAAAATATCTGCAACAACGACTGACGACTGGCGTTTATTTGTTTAAAATGGCGTTTAATTATACAAACATTTTTATATTTTATTTCTGTTGGTAGTGCCGGGGCTCAAGTGTGCGTTTGTCGTGTGTTGGTGGCTATTCGATTTGACTGCAAACGACCTTGACCATTGAAAACGTTTTTTTTTTTTTTTTTTACTTATTTTGTTGTTGTTCGTGGCCGCTTAGCAGCGACCACAAAGCAAAATGAGCAATAAATCGAAGAGGTGGCAAAAGCCACCGACGTTCAATGCTAAGCATGCGCCCAGATATATAGATACACGGCAGAATGCGTACTGATAGATACGCGTTTGCAATTGTGTGGCATGTGCTGCACGGGAATCAAAATTGAAGTGTATGAACTTAATGCGAAAGTATTTATATATTTCTACGCATTTTCGTTTAAATACAAATAATCTTAATATCTTCCTTTTTTCACTATGTGATGATCTGTGATCACTGCAAGTATCTACGCTTTCTTTAAGTGTAATCACGGCACCTGTCGTCGACGCAGTACAGAGAACAAAACAGGTAGGTCGCACAAATTTGCATTTACTTAAGAAATTAGTGCTACTATAAATACGAAAATCAAGAAACTAAGTTCGATTTAGCAGGAGATGCGGCGGCCTGCGCTATAAAACGGGTTTTCGTTTGATGCGAGAGAACCAGTTGCTTTTGCGCCTCGGCTTGGCATTTGAGTTTTTCAATTAATTCACTTAATGCTTTTCGATCGGCTATTTATTGTGTTTCGCTGACGTTCGTAGAAGAATTCCCATTCGAGGTGAGCGTCTCAAAAAATGGCGTCAGTTGGAATTCTAAACAAAAGTCGCATAATAAATGCCACATCTTGGCAATCAAATTTCTGCTTTAGGTCGCCTAGTCCCCAACCTCCAAGAAGTGTGCCGCCATCGAAAGTCCCCAGAGATGGCCCATGCCACATGCCCCATGCCGCATGCCATTTGCCACATGCCAGGCAAGCACGCAAAGTGCTCGACATTTTGCAGTTTTTGTGTGTCCTTGAAAAATGCAGCGAGCAAAATGCGATTGGCAAATTTGCAGCCATACACTTTTCTATCGTTCATTTTATCATCGCTGCGACGATGATTAGAACGAAAGCCGCGAGCGCCGACAACAAGAAAAAGTCATTGATGCACTCAAGCCGAAAATGTGTTAATGGTGATGAATTGGAAACAGCTGCTGCATGAAATTCACTCTCCAATCAGCCCAAGGATATTCCGCCGTCGGCACAATATTCATTTCAAGTCGCTCGAATGGCGAATGTGGGCGCACGAATTGGGGGCGGTGTGCCTTGAAACAGGTTGCATATACGAGTACTTGTGTGCATGAAATGTGTTATCTAACTTCTAGGCACAAGTCGAATACATGTACGGGTATGTGCTACACGACATAGTGGAGCCGCTTTCAATGAAAGCCATGTGGCATATGTACGGTACGAATCATTCACCCTTTTGCGGTATCCATCGGGTTCAGTGGACATCTAGAGGAAGCCTGCAAGAGCCGATTTCTCGGTTTATCATCAATGTTCCTATGTGAAACGGGAAAAAATATTCCATTTACTCAGTCACTCGTAGTCGTGCCTACATACTACATAGGGCCAGGCCAACTTATCTCCCTGTCGGACTCACAGTTATCACTGGAGCGGAGTCGACGGCGATAAGGTTTATTTTCGTTACTTTTTGGTTTGACGATAAGGAGTACGGAACAGAGACTTGCTCGTATGTAGATGGAAAGCCCCAGCGATGGGGTTTAACACAAACTGAATCAATCAAGGGGGACGATGGTGACTCCGGAGGCCCAACGCCCCTGGAATTGTGACGATATTATGACTTTTCGTGAGCTACTTGTTTGCAGGCGAATGAGAAGTGAGCAGACGGAATATGGAAAGGAATAAGCATGACATCAGAGGATTGGAAAGTAAGTTCGAACTATAGTTGGGTGGTTTTCTTTGTTTTTTAGAGGGGAGACACGCGACCCGCATCTCATTGTCAGTGCCCAAGATTTATGTTTTGTTGCCTAATTGAAAGGCCTGGGTTGTTTGCATGTGCTGCTGCCCGATAAGCAGTTCTCGAGCGCTTCTTTAATGTACATTGTACACACATCTGCATAGAAGGTCCCTGCTCGGGCGCCAGTTGCAGATACATATATGTAACATTAAAGCACGAAACACTTTTTTTGTGTTTAGTGGGCTGGAGGGGGTGGGGGGGAGAGTTTGGGGCTTGGGTGGGGGAACCACTTTGTGGGGCTCTCAAATAACAAACTGTCAGTGGCGATGATTCCCAGCACTTAACGACACGACACTCACTTGAGACTTGTACGATTCCAAATTGAAACTTCTAAAATAACGCACACTTCTGAGACGGCAGTGCGCGAGTACGTGAAAATCAAATACAACTAAATTCAAAAACTGTAAACAATTAAAAACGAAATGGGTTTCGAGGCAGGCAGGCCAAAGTATCTACGAAATTCAAACACTTGCCAGCGAGAGCGGCAGCGGTTGAGAATGTGTGCGGGAGAGCGAGAGTAAGAGTATCTGGCAGATACTTTATCTACAAGCTGTCGAGTGCTCGTCGCTGGGTTTGCAAGTGTTTGCTCAGCCGATTTCAGAGCTCTCTCGCGTCCATGTGCGCGTGTGTGTGTGTATTTATATTCTTATCAGTAAATAGTTTGCGTTATGTGCTGCACTTTGCTCCGTCTCCCTCGCTCTCTCTCTATCACGCATTCCCACTCCCACCGCCGTTCGCTTAATTGTTTTGTTTTTGTTGACTCGGCCGTGCCTCAGACGCCTCGACGCTGATAAAACTTTAAGTTTTGCCCATTTTCGGGTCCTAAGTGCACTTATCAAAAAATAAACCCACTAACTGATAAAATATTCGAAGAATAACTCGACGAGGAAGTGTAAAAACATATTTTTATAAATTTCCCAAGACTGAATCTGAAATCATAATTTCATAAGTACGAACTTGAAAATAAGTAATATATTTACGTAATAAATTGTCTGAATTCCCGATGTGGAGTCATTTTCTAAGCCACAAGTGCCGGTTAGAACCTCTTTTGAGATCCAAAAATCCCCCGCCTTTTTGTTGGCCTATCGTCTTTGTTTGCTCATTTCAGGCTCATTTATCGTCTTTTCATAGGCTCAGCACAAATCCGCTGACAGCAGTTTTGTATCTATCGGCGAGTGTGTGCTTGTGTATCTCTGCGTTTTGACAAATCTCATGTGCGATAAATCTTTGCCTGCCTGCAGACAGGGAAAAGGCAAAGGGAAAGGGACACCACACCACTCAGTCGGGCATCCTCAATTTTTGATGACAAGGGCTAATGGCAATTTATTCCGACATTTCCGAAGCAACACTGACATTGCTAATCCGAAAATGTTTCATTTGTTTGACTTGTCAGCGCGTCTTCAAGTACGTCAACTTTGCTTTGGAAAACACTTTTCCACGCCGAGGAAAAGGTAGAATAATAGATATATCCACAAAGTAGGTGAGTAATGGCCTCGAGAGCGGAGAGTAAAAGGGGGTGTGCGATCGCCCACGACAAGTGGAGATCCAAAATGGTGACTCATTCGTAAACAGAACCTGTTTGAATCGTGACTAAATTCTGGATTTCGAAATGCTAAGCTCACAGTTGGCAACTTAGCGTGGTTTTTAGCCGTAATGAGTGTACCCAATGTCACTTGTCATAGGGATGCAATCCAAGTGATATGTGCTCATCGATCAGCAAAGGTGTCATCCGATAAAACGATATGTCACTCAAATCGGTTGATTGTTCACTTGTCCAGCCGTACACATAAAGGGCATATCTATTCGGCATAATCTAAGCCACTGGACAAGTCCTTTAGAAATAAATCCCCTAATCATGCCGGGCAACTCTTTGCCCAAATCAAAGCCGCCGTGTAGCCATCCGAGCGCACACCGAACAATTGCCCCAAATTCATAATTGCAGGCAGCCCAAATGGCTTGACAACAGCACACAGTGGGCCAGGAAAAGGTATACGGGTGCACGGGTATACGTATGTATATAGAGGAATCGGGGCAGGAGAACATCCACCCGGAAAGCACCGAAAAATGGGGCAACTAAAATAAAATCAAATGAACAATGGTGCAGGCTAAGTGCGGATAACTGGCGAGTGTGGGTCAGCCTGGCAGTTGATAACTGTCCGGATTCCGGACTCGGGGCTCGGGACTCCGGACTCACTGGAGTCACTGGGCTTTTTGTTACGCCCCCGCTCTCAGCGGAAAGCGTAGGCAGGGGGCGTGGCACTCGGATGGTGGGACTTAGCATTAGCGGAAGTTGACAAAGGAGGCGAAATGAAGGCAACAGCAACACGAATGCAAATACAACAAAAGCGCAAATGTCATAAGCCATAAAAGAGGGGGAAGGCAAGGAGGCCAACTCCTTGTAGCCAGACTTTATTATGAGCACAGCAGGACTTTAAAGCCGCCGGCAAGGACATTTGCTGGCAAAAAGGTAAACACGACGCATATTTAACCAACTGGCAAATGTGAATGAGGACGCCGCGGATGAGAGGCTGATGTGAACTGAAAGCTGAATGCTTCGGGCCAGAAAGAAAAACACAGGCGGACGAGGAGGGCAGGAGGTCGTCGAAGTGGGTGAACTGGGCGAGGTGCGACCTCATTGACTTTGGCGGCACGTTTTCGGATGAGTCGACTTGGCTGTAGTCTTCTGTCAAATGTGCTTTCGCCCCTATGCTTGCCCCTGTCCAGTAGTTTTCGGTGCGTTTATCCCACTCGTCGAATATAAAATGGGGAAAAACTTTTGCCGCATATGTAAGCGGCGAGGCAGGCGTTCAATTATTGGTTGTTGCTCCGCTCGTTCTTCCTGTTGCCCGTCGCATGCCACATGAAAAATGAAAGCGAAAATCAATAACGAGGCACGCGATACGAAAAGGCCGCCCACTGACCCCCAGGATGCGGATCGAAAAAGGGACCAACGGACCAGGGACCGGGTACCATGAGAGGTGGTATATCCAGGCAAAAAAAGGGTTACCCATTGTTGGCCGACAAACATAAGCAGGACCTCAGTTGTCTGTGCAAGCTGACAAAGTAACCGAGTGGCATAGTACGGCGACGAGTGTTTGCCTGAAAAGCCCCCGCCAGGAAGCGCCAGTCCCCCAGCCCCCAGTTCCACCAGTTCCTCCTCCAGCGTCTTGCCTTTGTGCGCATAATTTATGCTCATTGCGAGCCAGACCCCCATCCCCAAAACCCCACATCCCAGAGCCCAGAGCAACCATCAAGGCAACCCATATTTGGGCTTTTACGAGCCACATTTTTTAAGGGTAGCTTCTGGATGTCACTGCGCTTGCCACTCATGCTGCACAGAAAAAAAAGCGAATGGAATAATGATCAAAATAAAAGCTCAATCTAAATTCCTGTCCTTAAATAATAAATAAAACGCTAAGAAGTCACTAGTTACTCAGGAGCGATTACATTTACATTAGGGTATAAATGGAAAGTGTTTCGTAAGAAATTATATGATATATGATCTCTTAACACTCGTCCTCTGCGCCTCGTCCTCAGCACTTCAAGGGTATTAAATCTTCGACCACTTAAGTGTTCGCCTGTTTTAGTCGAGGGAAGTAAGCTGCTTCGGATTTGGGCTTTAGATTTCGTTGACTCGGCTCAGAGTTCCCTCTTTTGTTTAGCCCATATATGATATGTATGATAGTTCATGATGTGTGCTGCGTGTGTTTGTTATAAATATCAGACGAGAACGCCTATTTGTGTCGAGTCAACAGAAAATCAGGAAGGAGTTAAAGCTGGAGGAAGCACAGCTGGTGGTTTTTTTGTGCTTTAGCCGCTTGTTGGTTTCTGCTGCGGCTGCCAGCCAGCGTAATTATAATTATTAATGAGTACAGCAAATGAAATTAGAATTTCACATTAGCGCTGATTATGTGCGTTGCATAATGGAGTCGCCACCACGTTGCGTATACGCAGCGTGTTCCGGGCCCAGCGCTACCCAGCTACCATTAAATGCAGCAGCTATCTAAAAAGCAGCTGTCTAAAAATATGAATTTATTCAGCTCTTCACCTTTATATTTATGAAAAGTGCATATAAATATACAGTCGTCTGTACACCAAGTATGCGAATGGCATGGCCATATACTCCAAAAATGCTGCGCTTTTCCCCATGGCTTCTTTCATTTTTCCTCTCGTGCTTTCTGTGTGATGTTTTCGTGGCATAAATGGGTGAAGGTTAAGCAACGTAATATGGCCAAATATAAATACAACAAACTATGGATGGCTATGGGCCCTATGAGCATGTACATGCACACCAGCGTACACATACAGTGCATATGTATGTTGGAGAGCAAAAAAAAACGAACCAATCCATCCAAGGTGGGGAAAATATGCAATGGGCAAGAGCCCCAATGCTGAGCCAAGCGAAATCCGCAGAGAGACATGAACGAAACGGCGAATGCCGGGGCTTCCCATGAAAACAAAATCAAAAGCTCACAATTAGGCCAAGAGACAGCAGCACCACCACCACCACCAATGTGTACGACAGACATGCAGCTAGTGCGAGTGTATCTGTGTGTGGGTCTATATGTAAATTACTTGGGGGCAGCGAAGCCAAACTGCGAAACTATGTCGCTAGGTCGCTCGTCAATACGGTTTGGGGTTTGGGGAAAAAAGGGGCCAGTAGCAATAGTAGTGCCACCAGCAGCAGCACCAGCACCAGCGATTCCAATCAAATCGAATTCGTGTTTGCAGGTGCCTCAGCCAAGGTGCGTCTATGAATTATCCATAAATAAAGGCGAAGGCAGTCAAATGGCAACACGACAGCCAGGCAGCAGCGGCAACAGCAACAACGCCACAAACGACTAACTCAAACACAAAGAACTTGCGGCAAGTCGAAGTAAACAAGTGAGCAGGTCGATGGGCGGATTGTCGATGCTCGAGAATCCCCTCCTCCGTCAATCCTAAATTCCGCCCCCGGTTCCTCAGGCATGCTCAAGTGTTCTGACCTGGTGCTTCGGTTGCCTGGATAGCGGCCATAAACGTGCCAATGGTTTCGCCATCTAGTAAACCACGTTCGGTGAAATTGGAAAATCGAAACAATCCTCGAATAATTAATGCCCCAAATGCAGAAATGTCAGGACACCATACTTAACTTGATTAATCTGATTGTTTCGGAATATGACAGATCAAATAGAACTGCTGTGTACTTAACCTACTGTACTATAGCACTATAGCAATTTGTTGATGAGTTCTAGGTTTCGTCACATCTCTTTTAAAATTGACAAAAATGATTTAAGGAAAACAAGTATATATATAGAAGATCTTGTTTTTTGGCCTCGAGTCAACGACAGCATCTGTGATTACTTTTCATTTTCAATATGGCACAAGTCAAAGTGAAATATTAAATCAAATTACTTGACAACCCTAGCTGACAATGAAACAAATATTTGTCGTAGTGCTTTATTTCTGGCATTTTAATTAAAAATTGCCCCAGTTGTCG